AATCAGTAACGTTTAGCGTTGATGCATCTGGTGAAGGATTAGGGGCATGTTTGCTGCAAGACGGAAGACCAGTAGCTTATGCTGCGCGAACACTCACATCTACAGAAAAAAGATGGGCGCAAATAGAGAAAGAAATGCTGGCTATTCTTTTTGGTTGTCTTAGGTTTCATCAATATATTTATGGGCACAGTGTTATAAATGTAGAAAGTGATCATAAACCTCTCGAAATAATATTTAAGAAACCTTTAAATGAAACGCCAGCGAGATTACAGCTTATGTTATTAAAGTTGCAGACTTATAATTTAAAAGTTGAATACAGACCAGGTAAAGAAATGCATATTGCAGATGCATTATCTCGGGCTGCCACTGGAAATGAAATTAACGATTGTGATAGGGCTAATACAGAGAATATTGTGGTACACGTGAATGCAATATTTACAAATTTGGATGCTTCGGATGAAAAACTAGAGCTTATTAGGATTGAAACGGAAAAGGATGAAATTTTAAATAAAGTCATTGCTTATTATTACGAAGGATGGCCACAAAATAGGAATTTAGTGCAACCTGTTGCAAGAGTATATTGGTTAATGAGACATGATTTGCATGTTATTAATGGAATTTTGTTTAAGAATTGTCAAATTGTTATACCACAGAGCTTGCGAAAGGATATGTTGACACGTATTCACGAAGGACACTTAGGTATAGAAAAGAGTAAGTGACGTGCGCGAGATGTGATTTGGTGGCCGGGAATGAGTGCTGAAATTGAGGAGTGTGTGCGACGCTGCGAGCCGTGCCAAAGACATCGCGCGGCGCCTCCACGAGAGCCACTCTTTCCACATCCAATACCAGAACTACCTTGGGAGATGTTAGCTGCTGATATTTTTGAATTGAATAGTAATATGTTTTTATTGGTAGTCGATTATTATTCTAAATTTGTAGAGGTCATGTCATTAAGTAATTTAAGAAGTGAAACTGTAATAAACAAGTTTAAATGTATTTTTTCAAGATTTGGTATTCCAAATAGGCTTATAACTGATAATGGAACGCAGTTTACATCTGCTGAATTTAAAAAGTTCGCAGATGATTGGGAATTCCAACATGTGACGACCTCGCCGATGTATCCACGGTCTAATGGTCTAGCGGAGAGAAATGTGCAAACAATTAAACGGCTCTTGAAAAAAGCCACTGAAGATAAGACTGAGTGGACCTTGGCCTTACTAAATTTTAGAAATGCTAAAGTAACAGGAGAAAATTATTCACCGGCTGAATTGCTCATGGGAAGATCATTAAGGACTCGGTTACCAGCGGCTTCTACTACTCTAAGGCCACAACAAATTCGATTTAATGAATTTAGAAATAATCGACAAGAAAGGACAAACAAAATGAAGGAGTATTATGACAGAGGAACTAGAAGAGCTTCAACATTAAAATCTGGACAAAGTGTGAGGATGAGGAAAGGAAACGTATGGAGGAAAGCGGAGATAGTTAATAAGGCACAAGAACCAAGGTCATATTGGGTGAAAGTTGATAACGGTGGTACATATCGTAGAAATAGGTCACACATTATAGATTCTAATAATCGTAATAGATCCAGTGTCAACAACTATGAATCTAATTTAAAAAGTAGGAATGATTCTTTTACACAGTCTTCGCAATCACAATATATAAGAGGACGAACAGGCAATGTATCGCATTATGTTACTCGTAGTTGTAGAGTTGTGCGACCACCAGCAAGGTATGGAGATTAGTAGTTAAAATTAGTGATACACATATTTGTTAATTCAGAAGTAGTAATGTTTTAGTTTATTTTAATTTTGTGTTCTCATATATTCAGAATGTATGTAATAAAAAAAAAGCATTGCAAAAGGAGAGAGATGTCGTAGGAATAGTTATTCATACTTACTTATATGCAACCTCTTTGGCTGTACATAGATTAAGTATTTAAAAGGATATGAATAAACGTCACTTTATGTGAGACATGCTAAAATGTATGTTTGATTTATTTAAAATATATTTCTTTAAAATATTACATGTGGTTTTAGCAAGACAGATTTAATGGTATATATATAAATTTACCCACAACTTTTGTTTATAATAATAGAATGTATATGATTAATGGATCCACCTACAAAGAATACCGCCAAGTTAAAATCGAATCGAAAGAAAAAAATCGTATGGCCTCGATCCGATCCGAAATCACCGGACCGTATGCCTTCCGATCCGATCTTTCAAAGGATCGGATTGGTTCGGGATTGACCGCCTAGGCGGTTCGTTTGAGCGGTCCAACCGCTTAACGCGGTTTCATCGCGGCTGACCGCTATGGCGGCCAATCGCGAAAAAACCGCGATGATAACGCGTTAAGCGGTTGGACCAGAGCGGCCCGCGTACCTCATAAACAAAATGGACGCCGTCGAGATAGCTTGTGTTATTTATTATTATTCCCGAAAACAACGAAAGAAAAATAAAAAAAGATACTGGATTCATCCTTTACTAGAAACACGTAATGAATTTGGCCAGTTCGCAAGTTGTTTTCAAGAACTGAAGAAGCACCAAGATAAATTCTTTGGCTATGTTAGAATGAGTGTTTCGTCATTTGAAGAATTACTAACAGTTTTATATGTCACCATCAAAGGACAAGATACTAAATTTCGTGACTGTATCCAACCCGAAGAGAAATTAGTTATAACGTTAAGGTATGTATTTTAAATAAAAAATGTTTTTGCTAGCTATTATGTTTTAATTTGAATCGCAATGTGTATTCATAACCACAAAGAACAATAAAAGTAGGAAACTATAACTATTACTGAGAATTATTATCATTAAAAAGATCTAAATAATCAGATTCATGAGACATATGTGTATTCTGTGAATATGTTGATTCAGGAGAAGTTACAGATTCTCCTTCATTCCATGTTCCACGATGTGTAGGTGGAACTGAGGGCGGTGGTGGTGGTGGTGGGATATAATTTCTAGCAAATGATGGTGTCTGATATCCTTGATGTGGCCCTTGGTTGTAGGTAAATGGTCGCACGTAATCCCAAGTAGAGTTGTATCCAGACGTTTGGGCTTCAGTAATGACTTGCATTATTTTAGCTTTTGTACGTAGGCGTATATGTTCAGGCACTTTTTTTATTTCACTAACCAACGACAAAAAGAACAGTCTATCTTCATCTTCTTCGGCCTTTCTGAACTCGACATTCTTATTTAAGACGTTAATCAATTCAACTCCTATATCATCTTCTTTTTTTTTCTTTTTATTTCGTTTTGGCGGTGGTGGTATGACTGGGTCAGTGACATTTTCTGTTTCATTTCCATCATTTTCTTGCCTTGGCATATTTGAATCAGTTTTATTTATTGATACTGTGTCTTTCAAAAACATTAAATTATTGTAAAATATGTATTGAGTCTTTTTCTTAGCTGCTGACCCACTCCTGCTAACATTGTCCTTTAGAGCTTTCACAAAATTATCCCTGATGTTTTTCCATTTTTTTTGTAATTCATTTCCTAGAACAATACAACAAACAAGTTAATGATATAGTCATAAAGTAATAGAAGTATAATATAGGTACATATCTAAATTGAATTAAATACTGCATGTAGTAATTATAAAATTTTTGTTTCAGATATTTTGCAACAGGTTGTACATTTGCGGAACTACATTATACATTCAAAATTGGAGTAAGCACTGTAGCAGAAATCGTACGAGAAGTTTGTTTTGCAATTTGGTTTTGTCTGAAAGATATTTGTTTGCCTCAACCAAAAAAAGACGCTTGGAAAAAAATTGCGAATGATTTTTTTCAAAGAGCTAATTTTCCTAACTGCTTAGGTGCTGTCGATGGCAAGCACATACGATGTATAGCACCTAATAACAGTGGCTCAATGTGCTTTAATTATAAAAGTTTTTTCTCTTTGGTTTTATTAGCAGTATGCGACAGTAATTTCAAATTTGTTATGGTTGATATTGGAGCTTTTGGTAAATTCAGTGACTCGTCAATATTTCAAAATTCTGTTTTCTACGAAAGAATGCAAAAAAACCAATTGGATATTCCAGAGCCACAGCCTATTTCACAAAACAGCGAGACATGTATGCCATACGTTTTTGTAGGCGACGAGGCATTTGCATTATCTACGAATATGATGCACCCATACGCAAAAAAAGATTTGGATGAAACTAAAAGAACGTTCAATTACAGGCTTTCTAGAGCAAGAAGATATGTAGAATGCAGTTTTGGAATTTATGCAAACAAGTGGCGTATATTTCATAGACCTCTAAATGTTCACTTTGATCTAGCAAAAGATATTATAAAAGCTACTTGTGTACTACATAATTTTGTAAGAGACCGAGATGGTTATTGTTACGACGACTCACTCAGTTGCCCTTTGACAGAAAACTTAACACAGGAAGGGTTAAGAAGGAACGCTAAAACTGCGTTGAGATACAGAGAATTGTTTGCCCAATATTTTATGACTGATGGGAAATTAGAATGGCAAAGAAATATGATTTAATTGAAAATAGACGTATTTATTATGTTTTAAGATGTTGAATGTATGTGTAGTTTCGTTTATATAAATATAATAATAATAATTATAATAAATACTTACCAAGACTTCTTTTTTCCTCTGTTGTCATCTCATCTTTTCCAAAAATGTCTACTAATTCTTCCCATTGTTTCCGTTTTAAATCTCTATTCCTATATATTGCTCCTTGACAATTCCAAATTGATTCTCGTTGTTGAATTTCAACAATGAATTTCTCTGTGTCGAAGTTCATGACTGCGACTCACGTACTAACTCATCGGCGGCTCGCCGCAAACTGAAATAGCAAGTGCGTACAAGCAAGATGGCGGCCAGCCGCGGAGCGGGCCGCAGCTCTCCATTCAACCGCCGCGGTTAAAACTTTGCGGCGGTCAAGTGCGTACAATCACAGGCGGTTGCATATTAAACTGGGAAAGCGGCAGACCGCGCGGTTAGCCGCCCCCGCGGTTGACCGCTAGTGCGCAAGGGGCCTAACTGTGACAGATGACGGACGATTTTCGAGTTTATTTTACCAGAATTTTTATTGTCTTTGGTTGTTTCAACCGTGCTGAAACGTCCAATCGATCGGATTAGTTGTAATTAAATAAAATACAAAATGTCTGTTTGGGCGACACTAAATCGTACTGTTTTCAAGCGAACCTCGACTTTTGCCTTAGCTGTAGCTTCAGGCACCTTCTTCTTTGAAAGAACCTTTGAAGTGGCGTCTCAATCGATATTCGAGAGAATAAACAAGGGAGTGAGTTTCGTTATGTAATTTACTAATACTTTATTTTCATGGTTATGGATTGGTGGAATAAGTGGTCAATTAAAAGCAGATTGGAGTCAATTTCAGTTCGATTCTAAATCGCAATAATGCTTTAAATTGCAAGTTCCACCAAAGGACTGTTTAAAGAATATAAGATAAATGAAATAATTATCAAATGTACAATCAAACCAACATTAAATGAGTAGTTCTTTAGGTTGAGTTTATAATAGGTAACTAACCTTTTGGGCGGAGTTGACTTAAAATGGAGTAATTGTTTTTATAATTATATTTTACTTCATTTGTGCCAAGTGATATCTTGTCAGCTGAACTGCTTCAGCAATAACAGCCGCACTCAAAGAGATCAGCTACTTATTGTATGTCATTTATTATTAACCTACAAATTTTATTCAAACTGCAAAGTTTATGAACAACTGCATATAGCAGAAAATGCTTGGGAGATAATGTTAAGTTCCTTATTTATTTCTTATGTTTCCAATCCCTAAATTAATGTCTTTTTTTTAACGGCTAAAGCAGAGTGTATATGTTTATTTCGATTTTTTATTGATGTTTCAGGTCCTGTATAGGTCCTATATTCAAAATTTTTGAATAATTTTGGTACTAGCTTCCTTCTAAAGTATTTTTTGGCATGTTCAGATACACTTGTCAGTGATTCTTATGAAAAAATTAAGTTGTTTCTGTATTAATAAATATTTCTAACATCACACCAATTAGCCTAGCCCCAAAGTTAGTACTGAGGGCTTGTCTAATGGGATATTAGGGTATCAGGTAAAATACATATACTGATACATATATAAGTATATTAATATAGAAAAAGGCTACTATGTACTAATTGTGTATCAATATATGTACTAATTTATTAATTAAGTATTTACAACAATTAACAATGTACTTTATAAAATTTTTGTATTTTATTTATTTGACCCTAACTATTGTGAACTACCACCTGTTCCAAATCAGGAAACCTTTCTGAGAAGAACAGGCGAAACAAACTGGAGAGGCTTTTTGTTTCCTTTTGAAAGAAGGAATACTGTTTTACCTGTATAAAAAGTGATCATTTAGCTAAGTTCCTTGTTCAGACTTAGTAAATGGCTTTATTTTCAGTATCTATTATTTAGATATTTTTTTTTATAAAATTTGTTTCACTTTCACTAAAATTGTTAGAAGGTATTTGCTCTTCACAATTGATTTTATTTTGATTAAGATAAATATTCTGTAAGAATTAATTTAAGAAACTGAATATGAGTTATTTATTGAAAGTGATTTATTGTTTCAGAAACTCTGGAATGACATCAAGCACAAATATGAATAAAGAAATAGTCAAGGCAATAGAAATGGAAATAGTTTAAAAATAAATACATTATTTGAATAAATTATTGTTAAATAATAATCTAGCATTTCATTACTTAATAATTCTTTCATAAAATTTGGTTTGGAAAGATTATCCATTACAATTTCATTTCACTGTACTTTATTAAGATTTTTCCAAATGGCAGCGGTATCCAGACTCGATGTATGCCATATTGCTTAGCAGAACAAAAAAAACAAATTTATTAAAGTGTACTGGCCACTTACACTACTGACTACAACTATAGCAGTTACGATGCTTAATTACTATACCCCCTTGTGTGTAAGTGGATGATTTCTGCCACGAGTTGAGAAAATGATTTTCATTTTATCATATTTTGTAATAGTTTTTAATTTACACATCTAATATATATAGACAAGTTTGAAACTATTCAGGATTGATTTAAGACATAAATTAAGCCCGGGTACACCCAGGCACACTCCTGTGCACAGTAGAACTGAAATAATATGAGAAAAATTGTCTGGAAAACTATTATGATTTTCCTGCTGTGAAAAACAAAGAAGATGGCTACACATCTGAGGGGTAATGGAACAAAAAATCACTGGACTTCTGGATATTTTTAGGGTTAAAACAGAAAGTAACCGCTCCATTTTTGGTATAAAATAAACAATTATTCATGTCAAATATTCAATCATTACTATTACATCTAATATAAACACTGATGAATTTTGGTATGTAGACAAATATAACAAATCTTGTGGAAAAACCATGGTTGATATTTTTGACAAATAGAAATCTTTATGAAAAAAATAAATTAAACCACATTATATTTAATTGTTTTTAGTCTTTATTTCATTAAAATTTTGTATATTTACAGTTAACAATAAATTATCTTTGCTTTTAAATAAGTTCTGATACATCAACAGTTTTTATAAATTAATACTTTCAGTGTTATTTACAATTAATAAATGTTATGTATTTTTTTTGTTATAGCTTAAAAGTTAAGTCAAGACAATATACTAAGTCCAAATTGTTGTTGTTGAAGGGATGGCTGGTTCATGCGTCATGCTCGTGAACGGGTACTGCCAGCGGAGATGAGTCTGCTCTTGCTTCATTGGATACTATTAACCGTCGTACTAAACTTTAATCGTTAATTTTTTTTGCCTAAAAAGCAGGACACGGCATTCCTAAACTTTGTTAAACCAGTTTTTTATATAGTCATAATTTTGATTATATTAGCATTTGTAATGGAAAGTGACTTTATGAGTTACCTCATATTGAAGTCATTTTTCAATTTGACGACTCTGTATACAATACAGGGAGAAAAAAACAGCCCTTGCTGAGTTTCTTGCCAGTTCTTCTCAGTACAAGGTCTCCCGCCGTAGATTTGCGAACCGATGGCGTAGCTTTTCGACATTCACAAGTGCTTGTAACAGCCTAGACTGAATAAACGATATTGAATTTTGAATTTTTTTGAACAATAAAAAAGGGGCAAGTAATCATGTTACCCATAAAATTAATATTAGTGTAAGTAACGGAATAACGGATATTGGAGCCAACAAAGACTCTGCACCAACTATCAATAGCATGAATTTAATGTAAGTTTCACATATTACGCAACTTGATAATATCAATATTTAAAACTTTAAGCCAGTTATTGAATTCATTAAAGACAGGGGTTGAAATGAAAAATTATACATCAAGTTCATTCTAATGTAGTTACACGATAGAGATACTGGTGGCGCATCATTAAACTTCTATTGATTTCCCTTAAAGAATAATAAAGTTACAGTACATATCGCTTTTCCAACTATACCATGAAAGGGATGGCGGGAAGGAGACACGAAAATGACAATGCAAGACCTTTTTCGCATATTAACCGACATTCCTTACATTCGCATTTTCGATTCGCTATAATGCCGCGAGTTATAATGGAACTTTTTTCATTAACCAGAACAATAATTAATACATTGAGAACTTTCAGAGACGCTTTCACTTATAGAAAAGTAGCGGATACAAACGAAACCTATTTAAATGGATAGATACAATTATCTACTCCCTGTGCAATTTTTAGCTCTGTATCTTATGGGTACGGCCACAGTGCACGCAGATTCAGAATCAAATTCCGACTCAGAAAACAAGCGCGAGAAATAAACAGTGTAGTTTAAGCAGGTTGCCTGCTGCCACTATGGCCACCCTATACCTAAACTACACTGTTTATTTATGGTTATGCTGAGAAAATGCAGGCCCTTGTGGCCAAAGGCGTACCCCCACGGGTCAGTAAGTGTCTGGGATAACCCCGCAGCCGGGTGTAGGGTATCTATGAGGATTTCACACGCACTTACTGTGTGAGAGCCTTATACGCCACTGTGTATTTTTAAACTTTATTCTACACTAGCTGACATGGAGAACTTCGCACCGCTAAGGAATTTCTCCATATTTTCTCACCGTTGAAACCTTTCCTGGACTACGACAAACATTTTAAAACCAAAATCACCTAAATCGGCCTACCCGTTTTCGAGTTATAGCGATACAAAGGAACAGCAAATGTTTTTTATAATTATACTAGCTGACCCAGCGAACTTCGTACCGCCCTAAAAAAATAGGGGTTGTCCAGCGGACAAAATTGTGAATCTAAACCATTCTCAGATCCCCTTGAACACACACAAAAATTTTCATCAAAATCGGTCCAGTCGTTTAAGAGAAGTTCAGTGACATACACACTCACAGAAGAATTATATATATAAAGATATAGATAGATTACCGACTATTTATTGCTTTGTTTAACGGATTATTTGATTATCATCACAAAAATGTGCTCAAGGTAAACATAGCTAGAGCTAAAGCTATTTTAAAAAATAAGATAGAATTAATCTCTGACCGCTGTGGGGTATTTTCCATAGTAAAGTTCCCAATGCCCTATAACCTACTTTCTCTTTGGCTCTATGGCCTCTCGTTAACGGACGTTGTTTTACCGGACAAGGGATCGGTGCGATATACTTGTCTGCCTAGCATCGCTTGAAAGGACAAGTACAGCGCTGGCCCTTTGTTCCCAACGAGTCACACTGTAACCTGTTACACTGTGACTCGTTGGGAGAACTTTGTAAAATAATTCCCAACCAGTCACACATGTGACATGTTGGGAGACCTTTCTTAAAATAATTTCCAACCAGTCACACTGACACGTTGGGCGACCCCTTTTTGAAATTATTCCCGACCAGTCACACTGAATCGTTAGACCAATCTACTCTTAGGTGTTGGTTATGTTACGTCTGAGGTGTATGTTGCGTCTTAGCCCTAATTTCATTAAATAATCAGCTACACTGCTACTTTTTGCTGTAATAAAATGAAGGCAACATGTTTTCCTATTATTGCTTACCTACTATCATCAGCTTACGATAAATTTATGTTTGGTGCTTAATTCAAGGATGTTGAAATATTAGGTCCTTACATATGAAATTAGCGTTTTGTCGTACTGACCACTTAGATCTGAAATAAATATCTTTGGTTAAAAATTCCAAATTTATAAATTCATTTAACTGGTACATTTAGGTTTTGAAAACAGTCATTCATTTGGTTTTTTCCTCATTACTTTTCTTTGGCGTCGCTTATTACCGCCCAATGGAGAACATGAAATATCGGTATATTTACAAGTAGTAGTTCTACCGTGGCACCAATGCTGCAGAAACAGATCGAAGGATTAATGATATGTACGGCGCTGGTGTCGCAAAAGAAAGCACGGTACGTTTTTGGTTTCAATGTTTTCGTTTTGGAAATTTCGACCTTCAGAACCAACCCCGTGGACGGCCGGAGACCAAAGTGGAAAATGAAGAATTAAAGGCTATTGTGGAAGCGGATCTATCACAAAGCACTTCAGAGATAGCTGCAGGCTTCGGGGTAAATGGCAAAACTGTATTAATCCACTTGAAGCAAATCGGGAAAGTAAAAGAACTTGAACGGTGAGTACCTCATGAATTGAGTGAATCGAACTTGAAAACACGCGTCGACTGCTGTGTTACTTTGCTCAACCGACACAATAATGATAGGATTTTAAATCGAATCATTACTTATGATGAAAAGTGGATACTGTACGATAATCGGAAGCGCTCGTCGCAATGGCTGAACCCTGGAGACCCACCCAGCCAAATCCTGCCCTAAACGAAAATTGACTCAGAAAAAGTTACTTGTGAGTGTGAACTAGCGCCGGTATCGTTCACTACAGCTTTCTAAAATCTGGCCAAACGATTACGGCATATATCTATTTTCAACAACTGCAAACCATGAAGGCAGAACTAGCTGCTAAACAACCAAGATTAGTCAATCGCTCTAGGCCACTGCTGCTTCACGACAACGCAAGACCACACACTTCGTAAAAAACAACCACTAAGTTAGATGAGCTACAATTGGAATGTCTGCGACATTCACCGTACTCCCCGGACCTTGCCACAGATTACCATTTTTTCCGGAATTTGGCCAACTTTTTACAAGGAAAAAAATTCAACTCTGATGCGTCAGTCCAAACCGCCTTCAAAGAGTTTATTGATTCTCGCCCCCATGTTTTTTTAAAAAAAGGATCAATGAACTACCTATGAGATGGCAAAAGTGCATAGATAACAACGATGCATACTTTGATTAATTAATAGTTATTTATTATACAAGAGTGGAAAGTTCCTTTTTAACCGCGTGCTCGATTTGGATGACCGAGCAAGCGAAGGAAACAAACGAGCACAAGGTGAAAAATCTTTCCACTCGAGTGCAATACGTAACTTTTCATCCCACCTCAGCGAGGAAATGACAAAATGAAAAAGAAAACAATTTATAATGACAAAATATTTTTATTTCAATTAAAACACATTAAGATAATCTATAAATTGAAGAAAATAATAAGAAGTAGAAAATAATTAAGAAATATTAAATGTAACGTTGCTACAGTTACTTATGTTAAGTTTAATATTTTTGTTAGGTAATGTTATGTTGGTGTTTGTGAATTGTGCGCTGTTTTGTGGTAAACTACTCGTATCAGTAATTTTAAATAGTTGTGCCGATTCATTGGATTCTATTGGCGTAAATGTTGGCGAGAGAGGGCTATTGTTTCCAATCTTATGGGGGCTCATTTTAGATGTAGAAGGGCGAGACCAAGAATCTGACAGAGGTTCTTTCAGCGTTATGGCCTCCACGATACTATTACAAATTTTTGATTTACTTTGGATTGAATCCTCTATGTATCCCTCTACAACCGAATTAGACTTCCAGCCTCCATGGCGCTTAAGCGATAGAAGATCAGCCCCTGATTCGGCCAAAAGTGTGGCTGAGGTTCTTCTAAAACAGTGACCGGTGTATAACGGGGGTTCTAAAAGTCCGAGAAAAGTTGCTATTTCTCGTGGAATACTGCCAATTTTATTCTGACCCATAGGTTGTCGGATACACTTTCCGTTGCGATATTGTAGAAAAAATCGTTCAATTGGGGTGTTAGAAGGACGTAAAGCTTGATATTTCTGAACAATGTTTACATATTCCTTGCGAATAACGAAGTTGCGGTCTTTTTTTGTCTTGGTATTTAGTACATTAATTAATAGCAATTCATCAGAATTATGAGAATATTTTGATACGTTATTGACATTAAGTAGTGTAAGTTCATTTGTTCGACATGCTCCGGTTATACCAATAATAAGAACAACCTGTAACAAAAGAAGTATTTATAATCGTAAATAAATTAATCAAATTAAAAATATTGTAAGTACTATGTACAATTTTATCAACAACAAAAAATTACACGTATTGACTTACTTTTGCCGCTAAATATACGGAATCAGGTGCTTCATTAATAAACTTTGCAATTTCAGATGCTGTGAAAACCTTCGATTTTTTTGGTTTATAACCAGATGAGGCTCTTTTTAAAAATGCCACTAATTTATGATAGGTGTCGATATGAACGTCTTTCTTCATCTTAATTGTTAATTTTAGCATTGAATACGTACTCCATAGCGTGCTTGCTTTCTTGGTCTCAGATAATTCTATAAAATATGCCAGCAAAACGTTTTCGGAGAAAGTTTTTGCTCCTTTAGCTAGTCGCCACATGTTAAATATATCGTACTGTTTCAAATACTTCTCTCGTGATTGCTGAGGGAGAAGGCTCATTTGCGCATTATTAACTGTTTCAGTTAACTCAGTTGGCGTTAGATAAACTTCATCGTCGCTAATGTCACTCATTTTAGTTGATTTTTTTGTACAGTTTTTAGGTTATGTTAATTATATTAAGCAATAAAACGTGAAAAACTAGAATGGCGCGAAGCACGCAAATAAAACAAAGAAACCAAGAAGGTTCCAAATTTAAATTTTTTCACAATTTAAAAAGTTCTAATCATAAATTTGGCACCATAGAGGTTACATTAAATAGGTTTAATGACGTTTTGAATTTACAATTATATTGAGTACTCATTATATGTGATGTTCTAAATTCAAATCTACTTTGCCGCTCAAGCGAATAAAATAGAATTTTCCAGCCAGATTTCGAAGCGCAAAATTACACTTTCCGAGGTGGTGGGATGAAAATATATTTTACAAAAACAAATTGACTTTATATTCCTTCCGTACAAAACGCCTGGAATTCAAAAGTCATAATAAGGACCTAATATTTTAACAGGTAATCAAAAGGTCAGAGTATAGATTTATATATAGGCTATAAAGATTAACAGCAATATTACATTTTAAAAGAATAGAAGATTGGATAAAAGCTTTCACCTATATAAATAGAGTCCAAAATAGAATGAACATGTGACAGAATAATATAAGAAGTAATATAAGTTCTTTCCGGGATTGTTACCATGTACCTTGTGTAAAAACAAGCGCCGAAATATCGGAAACTCGCTAAAAAAAGGTACATGGTAACAATCCCGTAAATAACTTATATTAAGTACTACAATGTTAGTGACAGTATACCTATCAGCAGGTTGGCCTAACGAGTCAGAGTGTGACTGCTTGGGAATGATTTAAGAAAGGTCTCCCAACGTGTCACAGTGTGGTGTGACTGGTTGGGAATTATTTAAGAAAGATCTTCCAACGTGTTAGTGTGACTAGTTGGGAATTATTTTACAAAGTTCTCCCAACGAGTCACAGTGTTACAGGTTACAGTGTGACTCGATGGGAACAAACGGCGCTGGCCAGGAGTCCAGTAAAATAACGTCCGTAAACAACAGGCTTCATACTTAAAATCTAGAATAATTGACATGATTTATTAATATGGTGCATCCATATTTTCCTACTTATATTATTGGGGCCTTTTTGTTATATGAAAAATTACAGTGGGTTTACCTACAATATATTTTTAACACAGACGTTCATGTTTTTATCTGCGATTTGTGCAAGGCTTTTGATAATCTGCTTTATCAACAACTATAAGAAAACTCCCCTTAATTATAAATTTAATTTACAGATAAAGCTAAGGAATCTGTTTCATAATTATTGTTACGTAGAAATCAATTAATTTATAGGATGATTAGTATGAAAATACCACAGGGTTCAGCAGTGGGTCCTTTTTTTTTCTTAATTCACAGACAAATCCTATATTATTAATTCATAAAATCACCATGAGGTAGTTACGTCAACGTATCAATCAATATTTCATTATTGACAACTCCACCCAATCAGTTTATCGATTGATGTATAAATAAAGTGTAATGTAAAGATCTGCGTAGGACGATTGCAAATCATATAGAAATGAGACAGGCGGCTCTAAGCACTACCAGATCTTTCTTAATTCGTTGTTTCTACAGGTATCAGACCGATTTGCTTAGGGAAAAGTATAACTTTTGGCAGTTTCACGTTCTGCGCTTGGAGCGTCTTAAAGACGCCCTGTTCATCGTATGTTACTGATGTGATTTGCCGGATTTGTGTTTGTTCTCTGGATCGTCTGTCACCGCGTCTGCGGATGACGATGTGGGCAAAGGTTTCGTCGTTTGCTGTGGAAGGGGAGTGTCGAAGTGTGGTTCTTCGGCTAGCGCCCATATAATGTCCACTAGGAGTGGTTGCGGCAAATTCTTGATGGCATCTTGACGGGCCACCTGAGAAGGAGAAGAAATTTGATATGTAGTTACTAACAGTAACTTATTATTGATTGACTGACCCATTCGCGATAATTTTCTTTAAACTGACAAAACAGCAAAGTTTTCCTATAAGAGAATGCGTTTTGTAATTTAGAACCTTCGAGGGCCGTTTCCTAGGAAGGGATAATATAAAGAAAACTGTATACATTTCACCTTTGTTTATAACATAGCAGATCATCTTTTAGATTTAAAGCAGCTATAATAATAAATAACATTAAACCGGAGCGTTGTTCTATAATTTTTCTGCTGTTTGTAGGATCTTCGAATTAGACTTAAATGCTTGATTTTAGAGTTAATTTTCGCACTAGCATCGGTGCATTCGACTTGACAATGCTTGTTTAGAGTTCATTATTGCACGAACTCCTATACTTACCACTACGAAGTGATGTCGAAGCATCTTAAATATTAGCAGCCCTTATTTGTTTAGCTACTTGATGATTTTGGAATTGGGCTTAAATGCTTGAATTTAGAGTTCATTTTCGAACGAGCACTTATACTTACTAGCTATTTGCTAGAAGGATCACTGAATAGGACCTAATTGCTTCAATTTTGAGTTCATTTTCGCCCTACCACTCATACTTGCCACTCCAAACCGATGTATGATTATTTTCAGTGCATATTCTCTGATTTCAGTGGCTCTCTGACGATCTGGTTGAAGGATCTTTAAATTGGACTTAAATATATATATATAATAACATTTTCAGCGTAGATACTTTTTAATATCGGCGGCCCTGATGCAATAAGCTGCTTGAAGGATCTATGAATTGGATTTAAATGCTTGAATTTATTTATTTTCGCACTACCACCTAAACTTACCACTCCGAATCGATGTACGATCATTTTCAGCGCATATTCTTTGATATCAGCGGCTCTCATGCGATCGGCTGCTTGTAATATGGCGAGTACGTTCTCGGGAGACACGTTGCTTTGTAAGTTGTGTTTGCAGAATACTTGTAGCCGGTTATTTGTGAATCCTGCGCATAAGAATAGGGGATTATTACGGCTTACATAATTTTAAGATTGTCCTTTGTCATTAAAGAAATAATACCTACTAAAAGTTGCGCTCAGAGTTTGAGTTTGATTGAAGTTAAGTTAGTTAGATAGGTACTTGAGCCGACTGGTATTGCAAGAGACCGGACGGTATGAGTTTGATTCCATGGAAGATGGGCCGGGTGCTAGTATGGGATGCAACCTGTTCAGACACGATAGCCCCTTCCCATCTACATGGAACCAACAACAGAGCTGGTGCAGCTTGCGAAGCAGCTGAAAAAGCTAAGGCATACAAATACAGGGATCTAGGCTCCGAATATGATTTTGTCCCATTCGGTGTCGAGACCCAGTCCGTGGGGTCCTAGCGCTAGGCTTTTTAAGGAAATAGCAAAAAGGTTAGTCGACATCACAGGAAACCGAAGAGCTGGCAGCTACCTCGGACAAAGAATTAGTCTAGCTATTCAAAGGGATAACGCTGCCAGTATCTTCGGAACTTTGCCTTAAGGGACTCCTTTTAATAATGTATTTTAGTTATTATAAGGCTTTTAGTTATATGCGTAAAGGAAAAAATGCTCCGATCAGGCCAACCGCAACTTCAAAATTTCTTCAACTTTGACTCATTATGAAAGTTCATTTACATTAGGTTCATTTGCGACTACTCTTATAGAATCGAGTAAACAAAAAACTTACCATAGTAAATAGGAGCTTGGAACAAATACAATGCGTCCTCGGTGGGCATGTTGGTGTCTCCGTAATAGAGGTACCGAAGTAATGAATCGAACGCTGCCTCTGAAGGTACCGTGTCGCATATTTGAATCTGTGATACAATCGTTGTTATTTAATACTAGCTGTGCCCCGCGGTTTATTAGGGACATTTTCCCGTAGTAAAACGTAGCCTACGTGTTAATCCATGGTGTCAGTTAACTCCATACCAAATTTTGATTAAAATCGGTCCAGCCGTTTAGACGTGAAGAAGTAATAAACATAAACACTTAAATACAAACTTATTACCTATAGCCTAGCCTTTATAACATGAGTGTGATTGATTATCGTCGCACTACCAGACGGCAATTAACTTTTAAGGTTGAATAAAGGTGATGCTGTCACTTTATTTGTTATAACAGTACCCTTAGCACGAACCAAAATCGAATTCGTATCGTTTGCGAGTCCGAAATGTCACTGTCAAATCTGTACTGATTTTTGGTTCTCGTTACGTACGTTGTGTCGCTGCTATTCAAGTTTCCATACAAAATTTAACATTGACATTTCGGTTTGCTAAATATTCGAATTCGATAATGGTTCGTGCTAGGGGTACAGTACAGTAAAATTACATGTGACTAGAAATATCATTTTATTTGACGTCACTGTTAGATTAAAAAAGTGTGGCTTCGTGGAAGGCGCGGTAAGCTATTGGTCTTAGTCTGTTAGTCTGTAACACCACAGAACACAGAAAGAGGTGGAGGTAGGAGAATACAAGCTCGAAGTATGCGGCACGACGCGTAGGACTACGTCGGCTGCAATGCGAGAAGGATCTTTATGAATGTGAGTGACAGAACAATTTAGGGGGGGGGGGCATTTTTTTATTCTATTCTTCCCTATTCTATTAGGAAAGGCAAAGGCAAAGTCATGCAGCCATCGTATTTTTATATTTTGTATTAATCTTCCTTTTTTTAACAGACTTCAAAGACGAGAAGAAGAAAGACAGGGTACACAAAAATTTGAAATATATAGCAAACATTTGATAACGAAAAATACTTCTAATTCAAATTATCGAAGGTAAACATTAAGAAATAAAAAAAAATGCAAACGATTACATAGTTATTTTTTTACTATAAAATGGCCGCTCATATATTTGTAAGCTCGGCGATCACGTGACTTGATCGAACAACACCTAATTTCATATATGAAAATGAGATGTTAGAAATGGTAATTCGACCGTAATTTCCACAGACTTGTCACACAAAAAAAGCCTAATGAACTTTTGTATCGCTTCTGTATGACATGCGGCCTCACATTGGCGGTGTTGTCGCGTGGAGTGAAGGAGCGGAACATCGCCTCGAAGTACTATGTCGGTTACATTGCAACAAGAACCTTTATGAATGGAAGTGACAGGTCAAGGGGCGCCACTGTCTACGTTTACAGAGACGGCTGCGTCAGTTCCAGTTTTCGCCTGATTCAAGAAGATCCTTGACGGACTATAATTGTGCCCTGCTTCCGCGCGAATACGCTCAAGTCTATATAAAGTACGCCCAACGAGAAGCGATACAATAGGTAAACAAAATCCACGAAAGGTCAGTAGCCAATGCAGGGGTTTGGCAAAAAGTTTGAAATATGTACTTAAATAACAACGAAAAATACTAATAAATCAAATTATCGAAGGTAAACATTTAGAAATTAAAAAAAAAATGCAAACGATTACATGTTATTATTATCACAATTGGTATAGGAAAAGCATTGGAACCAAATAAAAACATGTCACTATTTTTACTATAAAACTGCCGTCCAAATTGGCAAACTCGGCGATCACGTGACTCGACCGAACAACATCTCATAGTCATTAGACCGTCAGTTCTACAGTCTCGTCACACAAAAAAGCCTAACGAACTCTTGCATCGCTTCTGTACGGGCGTACTTTGGCCTCGTGCAGCCCCGTTTGGTGAACATGCGGCCTCACGTTGACGGTGTTGCCGCGCGGCGTGAAGGAGCGGAACATCGCCTCGAAGTATGCGGCGCGCGCGGCCAGCACGGAGCGGTGCGCGGGCCGCAGGGCGTCGTTCACGCGCAGCATTATGTCGGCAAGCTGAGCCCCGCCCGCCCCTCCCCCGGCGAATACGCTCATGTCTTGCTCTAAAGTTGTGCCTGCAAGCGAATGTAACATAGCTGTTGTTTATTTTTTTAAACTTTCATGGTTACTAACATTATAGTCATCATCATCATCATCAGCCTATTAATGTCCCCACTGCTGGGGCACAGGCCTTCCCTATGGATGGAATAGGGAGATTGGGCCATGACCCACCACGCAGGCCCAGTGCGGATTGGTGGGTGCTAACGACTGCAGATGCAGCCGGGACCAACGGCTTAACGTGCCTTCCGGAGCACGGAGGAGCTCGAGATAGTAAATTTTTGGTCACCCATCCAATGACCGACCACTACGAAAGTTGCTTAACTTCAACGACGGCAGCCGAACACGCTAACCACTTGCGCCATCGAGCTCCTCGACAAACATTATAGTAATATAAGTTATTTACGGGATTGTTACCATGTACTATCGCGGAATTTTGCGCTGTCACTTGGCGAACAAAATGCTTTGAACGGTTTTCTAGAGTAGTTTTTACTATGCCCCCGCCTTCACGTCGGACGCGCCAATCCGGGCCGCCGCACACAAATAAGACAGAGAGCATTTCATTGATTGAATAATGAATTGAATTGCGTTTGTTTTAGTTGCAATTTGTCATCCGCATCGTGATCGCGACAGCGCTATACGAAAAAGTAAGACTGCGATAATTACATGTTTATGAATGAATTTTACTACGCCGCTACCGCAAGCGATTATGGCATTATGGGTGACGGAGCGGGTCTTTCCGCGAGTGTACCTTGTTTTTAGCGAGTTTCCGATATTTCGGCACTGTTGCAAGCGCCATGATCACAGAGTAACTCGCTAAAAACAAGGGACATGGTAACAATCCCGTAAATAACTTATATTACTATAATAGCTATTGTTTATTTATTTTTTTTATGTGTAACATCTTTCCTCACGCTTTCCTGTACCCTTAGTACGAGTTTGAGCTCACGAAAACTGTCATAATTTTCGTAATTGTAAATTATGTTTCTGTGTCCATTGGTGAAAAGTAACCAAATATACTTAAAATTTAAGAAGACGCAACAGATTTTATGATAGAATTTAAACGCTGTTTATTTGTATTTAAACGAAATAATAAAATCAGTACCCTTAGTACGAGTGCGAGCTCACGAAAACTACCATAGTTTTCGTGAGTTCGCACTCGTACTAAGGCTCCTGCAATTTGTGGGAGTGATTTCAAATGGCTTATTACTTTTGTTGTAGGTTTTATTTCTTTTTGTTACTAATATAAGGTGAGGTTTAAATGTTACACATCATACGCCACTACCGTAAGGCTCCCTCGTTTTTTTATATATGGTACAGCGACAGAGTACAAATTGTAACTTACATATTATTATAGAAAATTGTTGTATTACATAAACTTGTACCACAATTGATTCTGAACACGACACTACTTTCAACGATTTTAAATACCCTAGATACAACAACACGAACAAAATCGTGGCCGAAACGTGTCCAAAAGGTACATTGGACGATCCACGGAGCTCCGTAAGATGATCGCGTGGTCAATAACAATATAAGGCATTATTTAAAAATTAAATGTCACCTTTAATGCATACTGCATAAGGTCTTAATTAAAACGAATGCGTAAAACACATATGACAGTTCGAAATGCAATCATCATCAGCCTATTAATGCCACCATTGCTGGGGCACAGGCCTTCCCTATGGATAAAATAGGGAGATTGGGTCATGACCCACCACCACCACAAAGATATCCACTTATTTGGCTATTTCATTAAGGGCCCTTGCTCATTCTATTTAATAGGTCATTGTAGGTAACATTGTTACTACAAGTTGGTACGGAAAAAAGTTTCTGCATCCTTTTACTTCAAATGAAAAACGACTCAACAGATCCACGTCCCAAACAAAGTTTACAATTTTGTAAAGTGTCGATAAATTCGCTATATCTAGCCTGGATTGACTTCCTCACATTAAAAAACTCAAGTCTAGCCTCGTATGTGCCCCACTTACGCCTCATACCGAATGTTATTAGTATAGGGAGGAAAGGCTGTTTGACAGTATGAAAAAAATATAATGCAATAACCACACATCTGAAGCGAAACTTCTTTTCTTAAATAACCTTACATTAGACGGTGCATAAGGAATAAGGCACGCATCACTCATATTTATGTATACATATATATATTGTTGCGTGTGACGCTCGTAGCGTTTCAGCCTTCGCCGAGTTACCCTCCAAATTTCATGCTCGTCGAGAAGAGCTGCGCACTCATCCCACACACACACACACACATATATATCTGTATTTAATACGAATATTAGAATCGATTTCACTATTCTGAAAGAACAAATAATAATAATCAATACCTTTTGTAAAAACATGTAATTAAAATGATTTTTTTATTCTATGGTCACGTGACCGAAAATACCTGAGACTGGCAAAGGCTAAAATGACGACACACGCTAGTAAACTTCCGATCAAAGTGACATTACATTGTATCCTTTGACGTTTTAATGACAGTCGTATGACGTCACATACTAGTCAGACGCCATAGTGTACAGAGAAACGTTTGCGCGCCAACTTGAAAATGCGGGGGGCAGTTTGTTGGGCGGCGCCTGTCTCCTGATCACTTCACCATAAGGCACTGAGACAACATTATTTTGATGATGGTAGTATAGTATAAATGATACCGATGATATGTTCGTCGCACTCGTGGAGCGGGGCGGGGGGCAGTTTGTTGGGCGGCGCCTGTCTCCTAATCACTTAACCATAAGGCACTGAGACAACATTATTTTGTTGATGATGGTAGTATAGTATAAATGATACCGATGATATGTTCGTCGCACTCGTGGGGCGGGGCGGGGGGCAGTTTGTTGGGCGGCGCCTGTCTCCTGATCACTTAACCATAAGGCACTGAGACAACATTATTTTGTTGATGATGGTAGTATAGTATAAATGATACCGATGATATGTTCGTCGTACACGTGGGGCGGGGCGGGGGGCAATTTGTTGGGCGGCGCCTGTCTCCTGATCGCTTCACCATAAGGCACTGAGGCAATATTATTTTGTTGATGATGGTAGTATAGTATAAATGATACCGATGATATGTTCGTCGCACTCGTGGGGCGGGGCGGGGGTCAGTTTGTTGGGCGGCGCCTTTCTCCTGATCACTTAACCATAAGGCACTGAGACATCATTATTTTGTTGATGATGGAAGTATCGTATAAATGATACCGATGATATGTTCGTCGCACTCGTGGGGCGGGGCGGGGGGCAGTTTGTTGGGCGGCGCCTGTCTCCTACGAATCACTTCAACCATGAGGCAATGTTCCATCTGCTCGAACTCCTTCGACATCACTATCGGCGTGAAGTTGTAGTCTTTCACCACAAACCTGCGATTGGAGAACAATCGTTTAATTACTTACTAATGTAATTTATACTTTACTAGCGGCCGCCTGCGACTTCGTCCACGTTAACTTTAGTTTTTTGGGAATCCCACAGGAACCTAGCATTTTTGCTGGGATAAAAAGTATCCTATGTCTCTTTCCAGGTTAAAAGCTGTCTGTATGCAAAATTTCATTTAAATTAGCTCAGCGGTTTTTGTTTGTTTGAGTAACAAACATACAATATAAGTAGGATGACACAGCAATCAAAATGCGAAAGTTGCTTAACTTCAACGATCGCAGCCGCATCTGCAGTCGTTAGCACCCGCCAATCCGCACTGGGCCCGAGTGGTGGGTCATGAACCAATCTCCCTATTCCATCCATAGGAAAGGCCTGTGTACCAGCAGTGGGGACATCAATAGGCTGATGATGATGACTTACTTCAAACAATACTCCTTGATACACATCAGGTCTGCGCGGTTATCGTCTGCCCGCACTAAAATAAGCCTATTTTAAAGAGATTAGGGTCAAAAGCACTCACTTCAAACAATACTCCTTGATACACAGCAGCTCAGCGCGGTTATCGTCTGCCCTCACTAAAATAAGCCTATTTAGGAGATTAGGTCAAAAGCACTCGCTTCAAACAATACTCCTTGATACACATCAGGTCTGCGCGGTTATCGTCTGCTCTCACTAAAATAAGCCTATTTTAGAGATTACGTCAAAAGCACTGGCTACAAATAATACTCTTTGATACACATCAGGTCTGCGCGGTTATCGTCTGCCCGCACTAAAATAAGCCAATTTTAGAGAGATTAGGGTCAAAATCACTCGTTTCAAACAATACTTCTTGATACACAGCAGCTCTGCGCGGTTATCGTCTGGCCTCACTAAAATAAGCCAATTTTAGAGAGATTAGGCTCAAAATCACTCGTTTCAAACAATACTTCTTGATACACAGCAGCTCTGCGCGGTTATCGTCTGCCCTCACTAAAATAAGCCTATTTAAGAGATTACGTCAAAAGCACTTACTTCAAACAATACTCCTTGATACACTTGAGGTCCGCGTGGTGCGCCGCGTGTAGCGCAGGCAGCACGTTGCTGTAGCACAAGTTGGCGCGCAAGTATCTCGCGCACAATCCCCTCAGCCGGGGAATGTTCAGCCGGAGCGCGAGACGGAGCACCTCCATTACGAGGAGAATGGTCGCGGGGGATGCGGGGTTTTCGTCTGCATGTACGTAACATGTATTTTAATGTGATTATAATGGTATACTAGCCTTAGATTAAAACAAAAAGGGTAGATACGGCACTAGCCTCACAAAAGTCATCCGCATGAATTGTGGTCCCTAATGGTGACCCTAATCGCTTTAGTCACAACTTGACATGCAAACGACGTACATGTGAACGCCAAAAAGAAATATTGCTAATATTTTGTGTTTATATGATAAAACAATGCCTAAGTGTGTTTTTAGAAAGTGCTCAAATTGCTCAAGAACTATAAATAAAACCCACGGCATCACTTTTCATTCGTAAGTACTATGAAATATATTTTTTCATAAAAATTGCTGTTTGTTTTGAATCTCATTCGGTAGTGACGTCGAGTACTGGTCGCGTGATTGGTCGGTAGTGCAGTGACGTGGATCTCGCCGTCTCGTTCGCGCTGCCGTTGAAACTGAACGTGCTGTTTCGTTCGGGTCGGTAATGCAGTGACGCGGATCTCGCCGTCCCGTTCGCGCTGCCGTGGGATCAGTTTTTGTTTGATGCAAGTATGAGCGTACCGTATCTACCTTTTTGTTTTAATCTTAGATACTAGCACTAAATAGGTCAACCAAGTTCAAACTCTAACGCCGCGTCCTGCCCCGCCCGCGCGCCCTATTCCTTCACTCCCGATTCCACGTGTCTCTATTGGTCTGTAGAATTAATAACATTCGAGCGGTAAATTAACTTCATATTTATTTTTGTATGAAAATAAAATGTAACGAATTTTCAAAACTCGTAGAAGAAATGTTTTTGTGTACGATTTTAGCTATCTAGTACTGCGAGGTAACCGATATTTTAAAATTAACCCTGTATTACAGACATGCTGAAAATGATTGGGTTTTAACTTCAGCCGGGGAATGTTTAGCCGGAGAGCGAGGAGGTGCACCCCCATTACGAGGAAAATGGTCGCGGGAAACGCGGGGTTTTCGTCTGCACGTACGAAACATGTATTGTATTGTGATTCTAATGGTATACTAGCAGGTGGGTGTCTGATTATATTACAGACAAAAATGCTTGGGTTTGAACTTCAGCCGGGGAATGTTCATCCGTAGCGCGAGACGGAGCACCTCCGTTACGAGGAGAATGGTCGCGGGGGACGCGGGGTTTTCGTCTGCACGTACGAAAGATGTATTTTATTGTGATTTTGCAGGTGAGTGGCTGATTATATTACAAAAATGCTTGGGTTTGAACTTCAGCTGGGGATTGTTCATCCGGAGCGCGAGACGGAGCACCTACATTACGAGGAGAATGGTCGCGGGGGACGCGGGGTTTTCGTCTGAACGTACGAAAGATGTATTTTATTGTGATTTTGCAGGTGAGTGTCTGATTATATTACAAAAATGCTTGGGTTTGAACTTCAGCTGGGGAATGTTGTGCCGGAGCGCGAGACGGAGCACCTCCGTTACGAAAGGAATGGTCGCGGGGGACGCGGGGTTTTCGTCTGCACGTACGAAAGATGTATTTTATTGTAATTTTAATGGGTACACTAGCAGGTGGGTGTCTCATTATATTACAGACAAAAATGCTTGGTTTTGAACTTCAGCCGGGGAGTGTCTGATTATTATTTCCTGCAATGAAGTATGTTACAGGAAGTCGCGAAAGCGCGGCTATTTGATTAGATTTTAGAACATAATGTTCAAATGGTTTATTGTTTTTGTAGTAGGTTTTATTTCTTTTTTTACTAATATAAGGTGAGGTTTCAAATGTTACACATCATACGCGACTACTGTAAGGCTCTCTCGTTTTTTTTATATATAGGTGACTGACTCCACCCCACCTGATGTTACTGATGGTGAAGTCCAGACGTGAAGATAGCTGGTACAGCAGTTTTACCTGCCACACCAGCCATCCTCACCTTGCCCGCCTGCATGTTGCTTTTTCACGCCTCTTTTAAAGGATCCCAGGTTGTAAGAAGGAGGGAACTCGTGAGCATGCAGAGCATTCCAGTTTCCCCATAATTATGAGAATAAATTATGATTGTATTGACGTTGTAACAACAAAATGATTAAATTGTAAACGTTGTTACATTATACTTTTAATCTTGTGGAGTTTTTTATAGCAGCATTTTCTCTGCAGCTGAAAAATATGTCCAATAACGTGGTGGTAAGTGGTAGGGATTTCTTTTTAAAGTCGGGCAATTACCTGACTTTCGTATTGCTAAATTAGAAGCGTGTATGACGTATCTATAACCTAAAAACATCGTAAACTATAACTATTTGCTTTTATTATTAATGTTGACCCAATAATGAAACATTTCATTACAATGAAGCATACGTGCGTTATTTCAGAAGCCCAAGCACGAATATTTACAGCTCATCCTCAAATATTTTATGACTAAAGCTACTTAATTCCTTTAGCGATCAAGTTAAAAGCTATTTCCTTTGTTTATCTTAAATTCATTTAATATCCTATTTCTTTGCTTCTCTTATATTTATGTAAGTGTAGCTCCTGTATCTACTTTTGCACACCTTCTATATTTCTCTATTATTATTCCTTTTCTACCATAGGTTGCCTGGAAGAGATTGCTGTTTAGCAATAAGGCCGCCTATTGTACTCTTTCTTCTGTTTTATTTGTTTTTGTCTTGTGTCCTTTGTTGTGGGTAGTAAAGAATATTTATTATTATTAATATTAGTATTTGTTCTTACTTCCGATAGGGGTCACTGCTTAGTTTTCATAGAAACTTAGATGATGCGATACGTTTATGGAACTGTCAAAATTCATGCTTGAGCCTCTGTAACCCTTATTACCTTTCTCAGTGGGGTCGATTCCGTCCGTGTATATGTAGTTGAGCACCATACTGAAGGCTTCAGGTGTAGCTTCTGGCAATCTGATGGTGACATCCGGTTCAGCCTTATAGAAATACACCTCGGAAGCCAACTCCTCGCCCGAAGCTATGCGCTTGCTGAGCTCATCGCGAGCTTCTCTGGATTCAACAAAGAGCTTCATATATATATACATATATACTAGCTGTCCCAGCGAACTTCGTACCGCCATAAAAAATAGGGGTTCGTGGTAGAAGGGTGAAAATTTAGGGTTTGTCTATTTTAGTATGATGTATCATAAAAAAAATTGCCTAAAAAAATTAAGGGTGGACGACCCTTAACATTTAGGGCGATGAAAAATAGATGTTGTCCGATTCTCAACCCTACTGAATATGCATATGAAATTGCATGAAAATCAGTCGAGCCGTTTCGAAGTAAGTATTTCAATTACGCACACCGTGACACGAGAATTTTTTATATTAGAAGATATATATAGATAGATATATATTTTATATATTAGAAGGCATATATGAGACGTAAAATTTGTTGTGGTGATTCTTAACAAACTTCAAAAAAAGGATGTTCTTAGTTTGACCTGCATGTATATGTTTGTTGACGCTTATCTCAGAAGCGACTGACCCGATTTGGATGGGGTTTTTGGTATATTAATGCATATTGATTCTTAAATCTAATTATTACTAATGGAAGGTGGTCAGGTTTTTTATATGGCAATGTATTCAGAATCCAGTAGTGGGTTGGGTAGTAGCCATAACATTAAATAAAATTTAAATATTTATTGAAACATAAGTTAATATTGCAGAAAAGGAAAGTATGAAATTAGCAAGAAGAGTTATTTCTTGGGCTTTATACATAAAAAAAGTTATAATGTAAATTACTTATTTCTTAATACTCACTTGATTTTGTCGAATAGCAGCTTGGATCTGGCCGCCAGCATCGCCTGATGGGCCAGGAACGGAATCTCGTCTGGACCCACAAGTAAAGTGATATCACAGAACTGCTGAGACTTCAGTATGCGGCCGAAATCATCGTGCAGCGTACAACGGGGGTAGTTCGACAGCTGCCAGAGGAAAACATACTCTGTTACTAGGGCCATAAATACGATAGACACAAGCCGCCAGCATCGCCTGATGGGCCAGGAATGGAACCTCGTCTGAGCCCACGAGCAAAGTGACGTCACAGAACTGCTGAGACTACATATGCGACCGAAGTAATCGTGCAGTGTGCAGCAGGGTAGTTCGACAGCTGCCAGAGGAAAACATACTCTTACTAGGGAAATAAATACGATAGACACAAGCCGCCAGTATCCCCTGATGGGCCAGAAAGGGAACCTCGTCTGGGCCCACGAGCCGAGTGACGTCACAGAACTGCTGAGACTTCAGTATGCGACCGAAGTAATCGTGCAGTGTGAAACGGGGGTAGTTCGACAGCTGCCAGATGAAAATTTACTCTATTACAAGAAAGTAACTAAAATAAGATGCTTTGACGTATAAAAACAAGTAGGCTCCCAATTGCCTAACAAAGTGCATCAAAAAACGTCCGAGCGGAGTTGTGTTATACAAAACGCCAAGATAGTTACATAATTTGTTAGTTACCTGAAAAACGACACGTCAGGTTTTTTTTTAATTGTACACTTGGGAGTCATTTGCACAGATTTTAGACTAACACGATCATCGCGTGGAGTTGTAATCAAAGGGCAGTCGAAACAAGATTCTTTGTAAATTACGCACAATATACTGGTGTGCGTATATTAGCTTCAGACACTTTTTGACAGCGACTGTGAGTCAACTTGTTTTTATGTGTCAATGGATAGATGCAAGGAAATACTTGTATTTTCTTGGGTCTATTCGTCGAGACCTACGAGCAAAGTGTCGTTAAGGAACTGCCACGACTTCAGTATGCGGCAAAGTTCACCTGGCAACGTGAAACGGGGTTAGTTCAATCGCAGTCAGAGGAAAAACTACTCTGTTACTAGGGAAATACGAAAGACGCAAGTGAATACTTGTATGTTCTTCGATTTCGGCAGTATTTTTAACCCTGAATGAGTCGATGGAGAGATAGAGCGTATATGAAAGAGCGAAACACATTAATTATACCGACCGCCAAAAAAAAAAATGCTGAAAACAGGTAAATAAATGTGTGTACAATATATACATGTATGTACATATGCATATTTAATTTATTAGCTATAAGAGAAAGAGAGAAAGAAAATGTGCGCGCGCACTGCTTTCTCTTGCTTATATCCCCCACTCAACTCCCGTTCACCTCGCCCGAACACACTTTTCGTAACGCGTAACGCATTCGCCAGCTTACCCCCTAAGTCAAGCGTGCGTAGCTAAGTTTCACTTAAAAAATTTAAACCCGTTCAAAAGTAGTTTTACTTAATGTTGTTGTGCGTGAAAACATAAGAAATGAATATGTCATGACTGTTCTTCACCTGGAACCGAAACAGCTCACCACTGCGCACGTTGTTGTCGACAGTACCGCCGAATATGAACATGCCGTCCTCCACTACCGCGCCCGCGTGGAACAAACGCCCGGACGGCACGTGAGAATCCGGCGATGGATGCACTACGGACCTGATAAAAACGGTTACCATTTTACTGGGCGTCGATTTCGATGGCGTAGTTTTGGGGTGATTATTTAATGATTTGAACGTCTTCTTCAGTTTTTATGTTTTTGGTGTTTTAACATTTTTCAATGATATTAATTGTAAAAAAACATACGACTACAAAAAACGACCAGACAAAGGAATATAGCACTTATTACATAGCCAGTATTTACCACATCTGCGTGTCAAGGTCGTAACAATGCACGTCACTAGGTAGCGTGTTATCTGCAGCGCCTCCAAACACGTACAGATGTCCTCCGTGAGCCAACATCCAACGACAGATACACAGGAATATAGCACTTATTGTGCGAGCAATACTTACCACATCTGCGTGTGGAGGTCGTAGCAGTGCACGTCGCTAGGCAGCGTGTTATCTGCAGCGCCACCAAAGACGTACAGATGTCCTCCGTGAGCCAACATCCAACGACAGATACACAGGAATATAGCACTTATTGTGCGAGCAATACTTACCACATCTGCGTGTGGAGGTCGTAGCAGTGCACATCGCTAGGCAGCGTGTTATCTGCAGCGCCTCCAAAGACGTACAGATGTCTTCCGTGAGCCAACATCCAACGACAGATACACAGGAATATAACAATTATTGTGCGATCAATACTAACCACATCTGCGTGTCGAGGTCGTAGCAGTGCACGTCGCTAGGCAGCGTGTTATCTGCAGCGCCACCAAAGACGTACAGATGTCTTCCGTGAGCCAACATCACGTGGCCGTAACGACGCGCCGGCGCCGGACCGGCGCAACGTAACAGGTGCTCGGTGCATACGCGTGTCCATCTACCCGTCACAAATGAATGGGTATTTCACAATTCAACTTCAAGTCTATTATAACGTATGGTTGGAACAGTGCAAAGGGCTATTTGACAGTATAAAAATAAAGTACTAATAGTTGGCATCGGTATTTAAAATGAATATTAACATCAATTTTACTATTCTTAGAGAACTAATAATTAATATCAATTTTAAAAAAGCATTAAATTAAGTTATTTTTTGTAAATACGCCTGGGATGGGCGAAGACTAAAATGACGTCACACGCTAGTAAACTTCCGGTCAAATTGACATTACATTGTACACAGTCATGTGACATTACCATACCAGTGAAACACCATAACGTCTAGGAAAACTTGACAAATGTCTTTTTTTTTATTGAAATACACAACAGAATGACCAATATCCACTTTTAATGAGCTGCATAAACATTAGTAAATAACGTGAGATCGTTTTCTAAAACTTGTGAAATATGTACCCTATTTAAACTGAATGGCGGCTGTGAGGCGGTAGCGCAAGTCACAGCGCAGCAAACATAATGTATTTGCTACTATCTTCACAACTGCCTTTTGGTCTGCCTTAGAGTTGAATAACAGGTGCTTAGTGTTTGTTTATACGTTTGTTTGTTACGCTTTCACGCGTAAACCACTGAACGGATTTGAAATTTGGTACGCAGTTAGCTTATGACCTGGATTGAGACATAGGAAACATTCATCTCGGAAGTGTTCGCTACTTCGCGATTTACAAAAAACTAAGGTTTACGCGGAAGTAGTCGCGGGCGACCGCTAGTACTACATAAATCCCCATGCGAAGTGCTAGAAAAAAAAGATGGTCAGCGGTTTCGGTCGCGAAAGCTTATAGAGTGAGTGACCAAGGGAGACGAACTTCTTAGCAATTCATGGATTCACCGTGCGGGTGCCGGATCCATCGTGTGGAAGAGAGAGAAACACTGAGCAGTTCCCGGGATTTTTTGAGAGTGTGCTGTTGGTCGCAGATGACCTTTACAGCGTCACCGGGTTTGGGGACGGCGAGATCCCAAGAAGACCTTAAGCCGAGAATTGGCGAGTGTCTCTAGAGGTATTCCAGGCGGATGGCATCTCCCCACGGGGGGTCTCCTCTCCGTCTGGAGCCTCTAGACCACTCGAACCTGAGGGGGCCGGCTTAACTAGAGGGCTCTCTCTGAGACTCGGACCTCGGCTCTAGTTGGCCGTTGTCGGGGGGGGCGGGAGTTCCCGGGACGTGCGACCCAGATGTAGGTTTAAGGGGGTCCCCTTTGAGATGGGCATCACCGCTCACTTTCACTGCTCCACTTGCCCGCCCTTCCTAGGCAAATTTGATAGGAGCCTGTTAGTGCAGCCTTAGTTACTCGTTACAATATTGAACTTACTGCAGTTCTCGATAGGCCGAGGTCTTTTAGAAGGTTATAGAGAGATATTGGTGGTATTCCTCTCGCTCCTACTTCTACCGCATATATATTAACTACATAGCCACTTTATTGTACTGATCCTATTTTTATCGTATTTATTATCTCGAGCTTCTCCGTACTTCAGAAGGCACGTTTAGCCATTGGTCACGGCTGCATCTAAAGCTATTCAAGCACTCACAAGTCTGCTTGGTGGGACGTGGGTTAATCTCTCTAATAGTAAACATAGAGAAGGCCTGTGTCCCAGTAGTGGGGATATTAATGGTTGTGTGATGATAACTGACAGAGAGACAAAATGCATCATTTTGTATAGTTATTTCTTGTACAATAACAATTATTATTAAAAACTGATGGCAACTACTAAATTTAGCAGGAATTTGAAATATTTCTAAAAATATATATCTATACATACCTATTTGTTTCTTTGATCACTTTGGCTCCTATGCATTCCGTTATTAATCTGAGGTTTACGGGGTGCTAATGCTAAATGCAATTCTGACATATTTAAAGAGATTTGGTGGTTATGGAACACCTTGACAATTGAAGGTAGATTTGCACCATTGCCAATTGGACCAATGGTCCAAGTCAATGATGCATTCAGTACAATGGGGTTTTTGGAACCTATTCAAATTTTCCCTACTATTTTTGCCAGTTTGATAAGTTGGCTAGGATTTTATTTATTTATTTTCTTAGAAAACCAACAGCGTTTTTCCAATACAAAATTTACAGCAGAAACATTTCTAAAGGTATGGCTAGTGACAGGTTTTCCTTAACTAAATTAACAAAAGGTAATTTATTATTGGTACTTCTATCCCTAAAAAGCGATTATCAAACAATCCATCCATATGTAATCGTTATGTTATGTAATTATAATGATTTAATGAGTACTCACGTGTGCGTTTCAAAATCGAATTGGAACAGGGCATTGGTGATCTTGGCACCGCTCTGTCCACTGAACACAAACATTTTGCCCCGAGAAACTGCCACTGGGAAGTTGCAGCAAGTCGGAGGGCACTGGCCCTTTTGCTCAATCTTCTCCCATTGGTGAGTCTCGCCCTAGGAACGCACACAATCTATTGAGATATTGGCATATACCTATGTATGATAGACGATACACATTGTATGGTATACTAGGATGGTAGATTAAATTTTATATAAACGGAAAGTAGAGAAACACAAGTTTTTTATATAAAGAGTTGTAATCTTAGTCAGGAATATAAACATTTTTCCTGGGATTTATTTTGCTAATAAAGAGGCAATGACTGAAATTGTATAAAGCCATTAACAAAGAATACTTCAGAATATAAAGGAAAGCTTTGCTCTTTCTACTCGGAAAAGGTTGTTATATGTGTGTTTATTAAAATATAGTCTAATAAAATAAAAATATGTTACATTATGTACGTTAAGACCTTTAAACCACAGGGCTGAGGTAGACTGATTCTTTATTTATCGTGAGTTCCTACCTATATATATATACAATTATATAAATAAACTACTCAAAACAAAATAGGGCCCACCCATAAATAATCTAGTATATTGTCTAAAAAAAATATATAGGGTAATTATTGGCGAGTTGAAGCATTTTAACTTATTGTTGACATGTTTACGAATCTTTATCAATGTTTCAAGCGACAAGTTAAATGTTATTACCCTTAAGTGAGCAAACAAAAAAGTGAAGTGCCCTAATAATCGTCCAATTTTAAAATTCCCAATCACTTGTGTTCTCAGTCTCAGTCTGACTGTTCCTGTTGCACCTTGTTGTTTTATCCATTTTGTTTTATTTTCTACGTTATTTGTGATCATTATGCCCTGGTTCTCGCCGTCATATGGATATGGAAACAGCTTCAAGAGCGGTGGCTATGCTTCAGGAAGGATATTCACAGAGTGGCAATACGAGTTGGTGTGTCACGACGCGCTATCCGTAACCTGTGGGAACGCTACCAAGAGACTGGTAGTGTTGCTAGGAGAGCGGGAACAGGAAGAACTCGAGCTACCACCGACCAGGAAGACCGTCATATCCGATTGACTGCACGTCGAGAGCGTACAATAACCGCTCGGACCTTACAAAACCGTTTACGCCAATCTACTGGCACACGAGTAAGTGATCAAACCATTCGGAATAGACTTCATGAGGATGGCCAACGATCCAGAATGCGAGTAATCCGGCTCAAGTTGACAAGGGCACATCGTGCAGCATGGTTAAGATTTGCTCGCGAACACTTAAATTGGACCATGGACAACTGGAGGACTGTACTGTTTACAGACGAGTCTAAAGTGAAGTTTTTTAGTGACGATCGTCGAGTCCGCGTGTGGAGAAAAGAAGGCAAACGTTTTTCAGAAGCGTGCATTCTCGGAACAGATCGTTTGGGGGGTCCAAGTGTAATGGTGTGGGGTGGAATTAGTTTAATGGGCAAAACTGAACTGGTATTTCTGGAAGAAGGCACCGTTACTGCTGCCAGTTACATCGAGCATGTAATCCAAGCTCATGTCATCCCATTTAGGCAAAGAATCGGTGAAAACTTCGTCTTCATGCAAGACAATGCCCGCGCGCATACGGCTCGTATCACTCAGAGAGCACTTTCAGAAGCCAATATTACGGTACTACCGTGGCCAGCCATGAGTCCCGACCTCAATCCTATTGAACATTTATAGGATCATTTAAAAAGAAGCTTCAAGTCAAATTTCAGTCATGTGAATAGCCGACAAGATCTCATAAACGCCCTTAAAGTCTGTTGGGAGCAAATACCGACTGAAAACGTTATCCATTTAATCGAAAGCGTTCCAGATAGACTAAGAGAGTGCATACGGACCAGAGGAGGTCCTACTCGCTACTAAAAGAGACAATTTTCATAAAGGGGATAGTGGGTTAAGGGGGGTTCTGGCGGCCCCCACCGAATCTGGTAAAATCGTTCCAAAAATCTTGAAGAGAGTCGAAAAACAAGCAGTATAAGCATGTTTAATATGTATTTCTTTATAAATATACTTATATATGTACAGTATATGTATTCTATCCGTTTCTCTAGTATCCCATAACACAAGTCTTACAGTGCTTACTTTGGGGCTAGGCTAATTGGTGTGAGTGTTGGAAATATTTATTTATTTATTTATTTATTATTAATAATATTAACATTAATTTAAAAAAATGTATGTTTCGTTGTATTTTCATCGTTATTTTATTTAGTCAAAAATATAATAATAGCGCTGTGGCGTTGTCATCACTCTAGCTTTCTTTTCCTCGTCAGCGTTCGTCGCATACACGTGTTAAGTGTCACCGCTGCAACGCGTAGCTGTTACTTTTACCTCCTTTACTACATTTTATAAAAGGTAATAAATTGTTATTTCTTGTACATTAAATCAAATGTTTTTGACATTCTTCGTTTTACTAAGTTATATATTTTTCAGACCAGCAGGCAAAATTCTATGAAATAGTTCTAGCCGAACAAAAGATTTCGTGTAGAGACGTGGTTTTCCTAGACCTTGAAGGAAGACTATAAAGTGAGTTTTAAAAAAAATATTGTTAATTTATCACAGACCGTTTCTTATTTAGCAGAATTATGTACTGAAGATGGAGTTCTTAATATGCATTACTTGTTGGAAGATAAATCAATTTTGAAATGCGAAGTTCAATCGAGGCACATAAGTCGGAAAAAGTACAGGTGTTACGTAAAATACGTTCCTAACGCTATTGGAAGAAGTGGTATAGAAGAATACGTATGCGATTGTGCGAATGGCCTCAGAACTGTCGGTTGTTGTGCACATGTGGCCACTATCATTTACTTCTTAGGGCATTCGAGATATTTGTCGCGAATTATTCGTCCAGCACAGATTCTCACAAATCTTTTCTCTGTTCAAAGCGTTGAATTATACAGTTTTAATCCTCGTCACTATCTTCTTCAATAACAGGATTGAAGAAGATAGTGACGAGGATTAAAACTGTATAATTGTTAACTTAGCTCTGTAAAAAAGTATTATTTAAGCTTGAATAAAATATGATTTATACCAGAAAATTTAGTTTCATTGATTATATTAGTTGAACACGATATTAAAATTGTTTAAATGCTGTGATTCAATGATATTTTTTACATTATCAAACCTGTGTTAATAAATACCTATTTATGGGTGAATTTGTTGTCAAAAAATCAAATTCGTGATCAGCGACCTCAAAACCCCCTATAGAGATGTATTTTTTATAGCAAAGACGCATTATACCAAGTACGCGCCGTAATTTACCGAAAGTTGAAAATACGAGTTTTTTTCAAAAAATCGCTCCGCTCAAAAGAACTGACCAAATTGAGTCCAATTGCCTGCATTCGAAAGAGGGCGATTGCCGCTATCTATACTATACAGCACCCCTCGGGAAAATGAAAACAACCCTAAAAATAAGAGGGTTGAATCTTGAAAATGACGCGTTTTTCACGATTTTTTCGCATTTAAACCTAAAATTCACATGTTTTTACTTGACAAAAAAATCTGAAAAAATTCAGGGGACTTCCACACATCAAACACAAATTTTTAATTGCATTTAAACCATTTAAAAATAAATTAAACTGGTTTAAAATAAATAAAAATCACAAAAAATCATATTTTTCGCCATTTCTGTGTTTTCGTTTGGGGTTGTAATGTCGGTAAAAAGCTTATACTGCTTGTTTTTCGACCCTCTTCAAGATTTTTGGAACGATTTTACCAGATTCGGTGGGGGCCGCCCCCTTAACCCGCTACCCCCTTTGTGTGAAAATATTGTTAATATTCAAACTTTACTTTTTTAGTTAATTTGTGTTAAATTTCTTAAAAACTGTAATTACTGTGTAATTAACATAAAACTTTTAATTTTCACTGTTGTTTATGTTTACACAATTTCCAAACGTCAAATATAAACACCTCAATTAAAAAAAATACTTAAGTTAAAGGAAAATAAATTATAGCTGGAAAACGGGGTGGGCCCTATTTTGTTTTGAGTAGTTTATATGACATAAACGAAAATAAATACTTGCCAACAAGTTTGTTGTCCACATATCGTTGAGACGGGCATTGCCATCGTAGCCGGCGAAGATCCAAAGCTTGTCGTCATACACAGCGGCACCATGAGCTGACCTAGGTACAGGCTCCCTGGGGAAAAAATTATAATCTATGAGCAGGGTTCAAGAAAAAAATATGTGATCTAAGTACTGATTAATAGTTATGGTTACATTTTACTGCATTGTTCACAATTTATTACATTACTGATCTCATTAACAGGTAAAGGAAGGATCAGATTTGAATCCTGTCTGATACTTGAACCAAGTAGATTTATTTTCAGTAAAATAGATGAATGAAGAGATGGCGCTGCCTTGCAGCTTAAGGCTAGGAAAATTTCGACGCGGCTAATAGGGACGTGGTAGCATAATGGTCAGTGCATTCGCCCGGATAGCGAAGGATGCGGGTTCGAGTCCCGTCTGCTGCCTGGACCGCGTGGATTTTTTTTCTAGTAAACTTTTCTTTAGATGTAAACATCTAGCAGTTAAATGCTTAAAAAATAAATAAAATCATAACTAAAATATTCTTTATAATTGTGTTTACTCTTGTAGTTATTTCCATACTCATCATTCTATTATTGTCCTCAATGCTGGGGCACAGGCCATCCCTATGGATGGAATAGGTAGATTGGGCATGCGGGCCCCGTGCTGATTGGTGGATGTTAGCAACTGCAGATGCAGTCGAGATCAACGGCTAAATGTGCCTTCTGAAGCACAGAGGAGCTCAAGATACAAAATTTTTGATTACCCATCCAATGACCAATGACTGAAAAAGTTGTTTAATTTCAACAATCGCAGCCGAACGCACTAACCACTTGCACCATCGGTTTCCTCTATTTAACATACCTAATGTATTATAAATATAAATGTGTATTGTGCAAAAATTTTATTTAACACTATTTAATATCAGATTATTATGATTATTTGTCGTAAGAAACAAACTTGCTTATCAATTATGAATTTTCAAATTTAGTGTGATTTTGGTCACATTAAGAAAGAGCGGAGTTTAAAAAAGTAGATACTGAGGCAAAAACTTAAAACTAAAAATAATAAAAAAAAATAAGTAAAAGCAAAATTATCTCACTGTCCACTAAATTTCCATTGGACCCACTGAGCACTTTGGAACTTGTATTCGAATAAATCATTCTTGTTGGTGAGATTGGAGTTTGCTAAAATATCTCCTGTGTACCCACCAAAGACAAACATTGATGTTTTGTATACCTGTAATTACAACAAATGGTACATAATGTGACATTGCACAGGAGAATTTGAATTACTATTGTGATTTTTAACTTTGGCTTGTGGGTTAAAAATCACAGTAGTATAGTAGTAGTACATAACTAGCATGCAAATGTAATAAATCATTCTAATATTATTTTAAAAGGTAAGTTAACTGCAATGTGATATTGTATCTTTTGAACATATTTTGGAATACAACAAAACTTACCACTGCAGAGTGGTGATATCTTGGTGCTGGTGGTACACCCATCCAGCCTGTTTTGGTCCAGGACATCTCCTTTATATCAAATCGGATGAGATCATTCAACATAGATTTACCATTGTCACCTCCAAACACGTAAATGGCATTTTTATATGCTACAGCTGTATGTTTGCTTCTCCTGTCAATTAAATTGATTAAATTAGTCTCAAAATAATGAAATTGGTTAAATTCTAATTGCATTATATAAGGGATATCACCTCAGAGGATGTGAAAGTCCCACATTTCCTGATCTATGCATGGAAAAAGAAAATAACTAATAAATTCACTTGATATTTGTGAATTGGTTTAATAAGTGATAACAATGAAATTATATTTAATAGAGATTTGTCAATAACTTTACCTACTTTAAACAGAGAGGACAGAAAAAATCACTTGTTGTTGATATTCAAATATTGCAGCACATCATTCCTAAAGTAATTAATGATGTTGAAAGACAAAATTATTACGAAGACATTCATTGTAACAATAGATTTTGTGCAACAAATCTGATTTTTTAATAGATAAAAGAATTTATTTTATTTGTTTATTTTTGGTAAATTTAATGCAACACATACCTTGCTCCAACAAACTCGTAGCACTCTGACATTCGTTTCCACCTATGAATAGTTTCAAATGGACCAAATTCCATTTTAAGACTTATATCCAATTCATTAGGGTTTCGCAGTTGCTCCGTGTTCATTTTTTTCATTTATTACTATTTAATTATTAAACCTGGACATGAAATAAAATCATAAGTCGACGTTATTAATTCAACACGAGTTCTAGGCAAGTAGGTTGGCTGTTGAAAGAGTAAACTAGATCATTTTGAATCAGAAACAGGAAGAAATCTCAAAATAAACTCGATTAAATGGGTCGCAGTAGCAAATTACACAAAAGAATATTATTGTGCCTACGTACCTTTTTGTGACTGTGGAAATAAGCACATTTATCAATGGCCTGCAATAAGGATTGGAAAGCTGTTTTAGAAATGTACGAAAGATGTAGGAATTAACTTGCTTGGAATAATAAAAACCCATTCAATGCATTTGTATGTTTTCTTTTGAGACTGACAAAATGAATGAATCCCCCACCACCCAGTGTTGCCAACTCGGATTTTGAAAAAGGCGTAGGCTCGATGAGAAAATTACGTAGATTTAGTAATTTTTGCATATGAAAAGTACGTAGATCTACGTACTTTTTTCTGAGTGAAATGAAGAAGTCAGGTGAAACCGAATGAAACGAGTATTTTGTTATACAATTTCTTTAAAAACGGGAGATGGAACAAAGAGTTCTTGGAGAAATCGCTGCATTGGAAGCACTTACCATGCTGCGGTAGACCATGACCATGTGGTATTATAAAACCATGATTTCTCATAGATCACATGAAAAATAGAGTTAGTTATCATAATACACTTGGTAAAAGACTCTAGAAAGTTGTGGTTAAAATTGCCAAGAGAAATAATACATACGCTTACACATGAACACATGTTAAAAGCTTACTAATTCCTGTAACTTTATCGACTGAAAGACATTTCTTTTTGCAAACATCAATTCGATGTAAGTACTCATTGAATAATATTTAAAGTTTAAAAATTCAATTTTTAAGGTTACGAATGTACCTACTAAGTCAAAGAGTTTTGTCGTTTCTCCTTTCACAAATCCTGCGTCCAGAATTAATTTAGTCAACAAAACCAATGACGGGAACCTTTTCTACAAGATACAAGAGTTTTAAGATACATCTTAAAAGAAATAAACATTTTTATAGTTTTTAAGTAAAGTAACGGAAAATATTCTTCTTTATTCTAGTGAATTAAGTTATTTTACAAATTTGAAAAAAATTAAGAAAATACGTAGATTCTGGGACTAAAGTTAGTAGGTTTGCAGAAAAGGCCTAAAATACGTAGATCTACGTAAAAAGACGTAGAGTTGGCAACACTGCCACCACCCCACATAGACACGCGCACACCAGCTCAGACATAGTTAGATATAGATATGTACGCTCAGCTCATACGGGCTTTACACTACTCAATAAGGGAGCTCAGTCGACGCTTTGAGAGCGTTATAATACGGACGTATATTACTCTACTACAACTAACCTTTGTTTTGTTTCTAATCGTTCGGTATCATGGAGCAAATATAAAGAGATATTGTGTAGCGTTTATTCAGAAATCAAGTGAAGCCACTGATAGGGGAAGTAGTGTGAGGTGTAGGATACCAACAACGCCATATTGCGAGTAGCGAAACTAAAATCAAATTACTTATGAGCACGATGAGGTTGGGTCGGAGCCGCATTAAGGAATGCAATTTATTGATAATAAATATGAAAACAGTACCTATATAAAAAGAAATATATATTTATATATATGTATATATATATAGTCATCGCTAAAGCTATTTGCTGGTACTTCGAAAGAGCGGGTGAAAACGACGTTCAAATGAAACGAAGTTTACGCACCGACTGAGTTAGGGTCCGATTGATAGGACGGTGTAATGGTTGCTTTCCAATTACAGCATTATTGCGCATTATGCGGCATAATGCTTAACGTTGAGTGTTCCAACTACAGCAACGCTTCGCACAATTGAGCACTCTCAAAAGTGATGCTTTCGTGTGATGCGTGCAATGGTACCAACTTAGAGAAAGAAAATTAACAAGTGTTTTTTCTTTAAGTTGGCATTGATCGAAATGTTTTATTTATATGTTATTGTTAGTAATATTATTTATTGTTGAAAAATTATTAAAGCTTTCGTTTCATTAAATAGTTTTTTTTTAAATAATCAAAGTTCATTCAAACTGTTAAAAAATAAATATAAGTATGGATGAAGGTACAAACATTGACTTTTTTTTTTCAACACTGAACTTAGCGCACTCTGCTGGTGCATTTGAAAACTAATTCACGTTCCAATTAAGCATCAGCATAATTGGGCATTGTGCGGCACTGAGTCGCATTATGCTCTGTAATTGGAAAGCAAACAATGATTGCTATCCTAGCTAGGGGCCACGCCCACATTTTCGATAGTGCCCTATAAAATTGGGTAGTGTAAAGCCCGTTTCAGCACGGGTACTACCCAACCTCAGACTTTATATTACATAGACTGTACACCATCGCGTGAAAAACGGTCCGGGCGAGAGGGCTTTCAATGGTAGTGTGTTCCTGTCTAATGAGGTGACCATATTCAAGCATAACGTGGGGGCAAAATTTGTTATTAGCATTTGTTATTTAATATAGCTTGTAAAGAGGATTGTGTTTAGTATCTGCTACTGTCTAAACATGTAAGTAATTTGTGATGATAAGTTAAAATAAAATCAAAAAAAGACAGACTTGATGAATCTAAAATCGCTCTTAAAAGTACCTACAGTTTGTCTATAAAGTCGTGACATTAAATAATGGCACTTCCTGTATGCATGTAAACCCTATACAGTCTGACCAAAATGATTTTGATACTAGCAGTTCATTCAAGTAAAATAAATAATTAAGACACACTATACAGTCATATTTTGTTTCTGTTTTATATACAGTGATGCCAATTCTGGCATGATTCTCTAAACTTAAAACTAAATTTACCATCAGTCTCTCCTTTTCATTCTGTATAGAGAACGACAAGGATATACTGCTGTCAAATTTAAGTTTAGGTTTAGAGAATCATGCTAGAATCGACACCAGTAGGTACCTATGCTTATAAAAAGTTTTACCAAGCATATTTTAATTGAATCAGGATAAAATTATTATAGATAAAATAGTACATTATTGTGTATAAGTGTGTAATATTGGTGACTACCGCTGAGGCGACATTGAGACCAGAGCCATTAGGAGAGCCGAGGGTGGTAATCATCAATACACACGTGTATATTACGACGTTTTTTAACACAGTTGTTAAGAAAATAATACTAAAAATCATTGTATAGTATATAAAAAGTTTATTTAGAGAAACAATTTGTAAATGTACAGTTAGTAAAATTAGTGATAGGTATCTTCACTAAAAGCATCTGGCCATGGTTCTCTGTGACCTGGTGGGAAAATAAAGTGTCCATTTCTTTGGTCGGCCTTGTTTTTCAAACTTTCCATCATTCTCAAAACCTTCGTTAGATAGTCAACGCAGGCTAATTGTACTATCTGATTTTTCTGAAAAAAAAAATTAAAAAATATGTAACGGAATAGAAACAATAACTTATTGACATGAAGCAATTAATTCAAAATTGGTAGAAAACCTGACTGAGTTGTACCATCCCAACGTATCAAAAGAAATGGTCGTACGTACTACAATATTACCTACTTACAATGTCAATCTAACCTAAAAATGTGCAATGTAAACAATGCCTGTTTTGGTCTCAAAATCGAAAATTGAGTAAATTTGTAACTTCAGGCAGAATACAAACAAATAGTAACACGATTACATACCCGTCATTGATGTTGTTCGCCCATAAACATCAACCAAATCCCACAAAATTCGTCCAGCTTGGTACTCCGCGAAACATCGCTGGAAAACTTAAAAAAATCATTTCTCACGTGCCACTCCAATTTACTTTACTCATTTTTATACCTTTCTGCTTAGTTTCGTCTTAATTTATTACAGTTTAATCAAAACAATAAAAAATACAAAAGGAAAACTGTTCCACAACTCAAACTCGATGACAGCTGATGTACATAAGTTTGGTGTTGCCAGACACATGAATAATGTTAGTTCCTCAAACATTCATGTCACGACTTTATAGACAAACTGTACGAAACAAGAAAATAACCGCGACCGCGTTATTTAATAATTGATTCATCAAATTCACACAACTCATGTTAAGAAAAAAAAAACTCATGTACCTCCAAAATTCATGGTTCACCTAATGAATATGATTGTAAGTTTTACTTACCCGTGAAAAGAAAAAGGGCTACCGGGATAAGATTCATTGTAACACCCTGCTACACAACACGAGTTCACCATTTAAAAAAAAAATGGTTGCCTGTAAAGTCGGTTTTACGGGCGAAGATTTTACGTGACAACGTCTTTTTCTCGGTAGAATATTTATTGATATGAATATAATTAAATTGCACAATAGGAACAAGGAATTGAATGAAAATAAGAATTGCACAAATTTTAACTATAGAAATATATTTTGTTTACTAAAACATTGTACATGTAAACTTAAACTTAACACGAGAGACTCATCGTAACGTTACCGAGCGTTACACTTTTTCATAAGTGACTCCCAGCCGCAACCTAATTTAAGACGTTGTCACGTCAAAAATACACTTTAATAAGCAAATTTACAATATTTCAAATCAAAGCGGGTAAATCAATTTAACGATCAAGTGAACAAATCACCATCTTACATTCAGTATCACCAGGCTCAACCATTTAAATACTACTTTTACTCTGTATTTAGATTTATTTTAATGATTATTTTATAATTTATAGGAACTGTAGAAATGTTTAAATACGTTTCATAGTTTATGAATAGTTCGTATCGGTAATTAATCAGTAAATCACAAATACAAAAGGATGACATTTGTACCAAACCCAATGATAAATTGTGCTGGAAAGGGACACACTCCCGTTGGGTGCTTTCTCACTCAGGACCGTTTTTACTAGCGACCGCTTATCCAGATAATAGCTATCCTATTACTACAGATATATCTTACTTTAAATCTTACTTTAGATTAACGAATTTTTTTCGTGCACAGTCTAGGTATTATAGGGGCCGCAAAAACATACTTACTGACGGTGGAGAGATCTCAGCGCATATTGCTTAAAGTGGCTGCAGGACTCCCATATCGCTATCCTACTGTAGAGTTATACAAAGTCTGGAACATTCTCCCTGTACGACAAATATTCGTTCTGAAAACCGTACTTCAAAAACATAGTCAGTTAACTTATGACCCCAAATTTGAACAGAGGAGACGCAAAACTCAAGTCTGCCCTTTACCCACTCAGAAAACCTCCTTTACACAAAACTTCTTCCGTTTCTTGGCCCATTCCTCTACAACCGAATAAATCATATCCTCCATATTTATTCTCGTTATAAAACCCACTGCAAAACTATCGTCCGCGATTATCTATTGACACTTGACTATGATACTACTGAAAACCTATTATGCCCTCCAAGATAAACCTGCAAACATGACGATATTCGTAGTTTTCACATGAGATTTTAATTTCGCCTCTGCAACTGTTGAAACTAATCATTCACACACGACTGCACATTAGGGACACGAAAAAAGTATCGATACTTTGTGGTATCGAGTACTTTTCCTTTCGATACCGATACTTTTGTACTCGATACTTTGTATTCGATACTTTTACTAAATGAGTACCTTTTGGCAAGTATCGATACCTTTAAAATTTTTGGATAAGCGCCTCATATTGATGGCAACGCCATCTTGTTAAATCATAGCAAACCTTCTAAAACGTTCCATAGGGTATTTGACAAGTTTTAGGCAACGATCTCACGTTATTGACTAATGTTTATGGAGTCCGTAAAAAGTGGATATTCATCATTCTGTCGTGTATTTCAGTAAAAATAACCAAATCAAAAACTCAATTTTTAAGTTGCCGCGAAAACGTTTCTCTGGGCAATATGGCGTCTTACTAGTGTGTGACGTCACACGGCTGTTATTAAAACGTCAAACAATGTAATGTCACTTTGACCGGAACTTTACTTGCGTGTGACGTCCTTTTAGGCTCCGCCAATCCCAAGCGTTTTGGGTTACGTGACAATAGATAAGAAAACTAATATCTTTTTCGTTATTTTGGTACTTTATTTTTAATACTGTCAAATGCCCTATTGCGTTGTTATAAAGTCAGTAACTGACATATTCAAATTCTTTCCAATCTGTGACTGTGTTAATTTTGCGCTTTGTTTTGTTTCATAGTTATTTATTTAGCGACCATATTGTTAGGAACTGTGATTCGCCGTTTATTGTGCTTTTCGCTTGACTGTATTTGATTTATTCATGTGTAACACTATTATTCTGTCTGTGCAGTGTATACCTATTTGAAACCACCTAAAAAAGAAGGACGTAACCTCTTCTATAATTATAATCTTGAGTGAAGCATGCCAATGGCAGCCGTTAACTACGTGTCAGATTCAAGTTAACATAAGTGGGTATAATGTTTTTTAATGATTAAAATTCAAGAAAAGTAAGTTTAATTTGAAACAAATCTAAAAAGTTTCATACTTTTAAATTGTTTAAGATATCGATCTTTTTAATTAACATTTTAATTATGAATTAATGAATACTTTTTTAGTGTCAGAAATCATTCAATTCAATCATCATCATTTTTAGCAATTTGTGAATTTACATGTCCTTTTTTGTTTTTGATTATACGTACTATAATAAAATTCGATTGTTTTTCTTTCAATTTTAACACCGGGGGGGGGGGGGGGGGTTGCTCATCAGGCCACAGAGGCTCCGATAAGGCCCTATGAAATGTACTCGATACTTTAAAGTATCGATACTTTTGTTTCGATACTTTTACGAGTACGATACTTTTTTACTGATACTACTCATGAGTACAGTATCGATACTTTCTATTCGATATCGTGTCCCTACTGCACATACACAAACATACATACACACATACACTACACTGCATACGTATCATATAGACAAAAAGAACGAAATCACACAAACACTTACTATCACACACATACACGCCGCTTTTGGTTATTATTTTTATTTTTAGAAACTGGATAATTTTTCTAGCTTCCTATTAGATAGAATAGTGGTCTAAAGCCATATCGCTTATCTTCTTGATTTTCCTCAAGTCATTTTCAAGTTCGAATTATACCGAAGGAATTATACGATTTCGAAAGAAAAGCCATGAATTTAGCCAAGTTGTCTATGGATCCTGTCAATTTTTAAATGGTAATCTCGTTCAATCATTTTGATCATAAACATTTACTCTAGCGGGCTATAATCATTCATTCATTCAACGAATTCGGCGACCGCTACGTTTTGTTTGTATTTAATTTACAAAATCTGTATCTTTTTATGAGAATTTGTCTATTCCATCAGAAATATGTCTTCTCTGGTAAGATTTTGGATATATTTACACTTGCAATAGTTTTTGTCGAGTGAGAGGTTAATATGTCTTCTGTTCTGTATGTATTTTAACTGGACAATGTTCGTTACTCAATAATAGGCAGAAGAAAGCGTGCGGCGTAATAGCGAAAGCGAAGGTGGTGAACCAGATACTCCTGAACACGACCCTCACTATGAACCTATCGTTTCCCTACCCCTGGTTGATGTGAATACAAATGAAGAAGATGAGGAGGAATTGGTAAAAATTCGAGCCCGGCTTTATAGATATGACACTGCGGACCACGAATGGAAGGTTAGAATAGTATAATATTATCATTAATAAAAAAATATTTACGTGCGATCAAAAAAGTTTTATACTGTATATTTTTTTTTTATTTATTGCTTAAATATTTTATGTAAGTGAAATGTATTTTACAGGAGCGTGGCACAGGCGATATAAAATTGTTACGCCATAAAGAAAACAATACAGTCCGTGTAGTCATGAGGCGTGATAAAACTCACAAAGTGTGCGCAAACCACTTTATAACACCAGATATTAGGATGAATGTCCATTGTGGCTCTGACAAAGCTTTCAATTGGTCTGTATTTGCCGACTATGCAGATGAAAAATGCAAACAGGAGCTCCTTGCTATTAAATTTGGAAATGCACAAAGTAAGAAAAATTCTTAATCAAGTAATTAGTTTAATTAATTCACTCAATGAATACTTGGAAGACTTGAGAGTAGAAGTATAAAATGGTATAAAGTTGTTATAATTTTAATTTTTTAAGCATGTAACAGCTAACTGTTTAAATCTAAAAAAAAATATTAATAAAAATCCATGTGGTCCAGGCAGCAGACCTGATCCTGGTCCAGCCCCGTCTGCTGCCTGGTCCACATGGAATTTTTCTAGTAAAATTTTCTTTGTATAAAGTACTTTGTTCTGTTATGCCAAAATATTTAAATGAAAATCATTTGGCTTTTATCTGTTAGCAAAGGCAATTCATAGCTTGTAACCACATAATTAGTTCAAATATTAAATATAGTGGATTCGAACCCTCACTCTCTGCTATCCAGACATCTAGTAGTTAATGCTTAAAAAAATATCAAAATATAAACCTTTTTGACAGATGCAGAATTATGGAAAAAGAAATTTGCAGAAGCTCAAGAAATAGTAAGAACGAAATGTAGTTTATATACACAAGACCAGTCTTCAGATGATGAAAGCAGCATCACTCGAAGTGAAGACACAGATACCCCTGAACCCAAGAGCACAGACAAACTAGAAGGGGTTGATTCCGAAGGTGTAGTGTTAAAACTAAAAGAACTTTCAGTGGAAAGTGAAAAGGCAAATTAACAATAACAAAACTTTTAAAAATTATTTGTATAAGGGCCAATGAGTAACATGGTATTTTGATTTTAGTTCTAATTTTACATTAACTTCATTATTATTCATAGGTTGACTATATTCCATAATATTCTATATATGCTTACTGAACAATGATACTTATTTTTTATGTTTCTATTAGCTGCAGTTTTTTTTATAGAATTCTAGATTCTAATTATAATGAACACAGTGTGTAGGTATGTTTTAGCATAATATTTTTTATTAATACATTTTATGTTGCATGTTACTATTGGTAAAAGCTTGTATGGATAATGTTACAATGTCAAAATTATGCATTGTGGAAAGTTTATTTACTTTGATTTTGATGTATTATTTACAATTTTCTCATGAAAAAAACATTAACTACATTTTCTGAATCTTCATGATTTACATGAAGTTCTGTGTAGTTATGTGGCAGGGACTGGTGTGAGTTTATGTATTTACAATACAAAATGTGAACATGCCATGCTGGAAACCACAATTCAAGCATTATAGTTTAAGATAAGGTAGGATAGGATATGAGTTGGCTATATTATTTTACTTTGACTTACATTACTTTTGTTTTTCTTTTCATTGTACAAAATTATATAATTGTATTTCATTTCTCTATACAGAATAGCTTAATGAAGGAATTGCTGTGTGCTAAAAATTACAAGAAATATTTTTACATCAATTTTATTATGAAGTTTGTTATCAAGACACTAAGTCTTCATTACTTCCTTCTGTAACTCGATACTAACTGAATTGAAATTACAACTGTATACTTCCACCAATTAGAAGAATATAGTTAAAAGTCAAGGTCAGATAAGTATTCAGTCTATTCAATCATTCATAGGCCTCAGGTGGATATTTTTCATGGGCAGACCTTTAGGAGAATATTGGGCTATTATATTGTTCTCGTATTTCACGAGAAAAAATATTTATTGTTTCACAGAGTAGACTATAAAGCATCTGCTCAGCCAGCTATTAATCTCTTTCAAAGACAGTTTGTCTACAGTTAGGTTGAGAAAATAATGTATTGCACTATTACAATAGGTATCTATGTTGTGTGTAATTTTCTATCATCTGGAATTTCAACAAAGTAGTTTTGTTTGTAATATTAACGATTTTATTTCAATATCTTTCATGTCAACTTTTGCATTTTGAATTTAATTTTATTTTCCATGATCTGAATGATAATTAGCTGATATTGTATAATTTTCATGTTATTTTTTTTTCATAAAAAGGGTGTGTCTGTTTTAATGTGTAAAATGTTACATTCCTGTTTATAGAGCGAATTGTGATTAATATCCAAAAATTTGTCAAACCAACAAGTTTAATTAACTTGTGGTCTTTCAAATACATAATTAAAGTGATTTCATAGAAAAAATGAATTTTATTTTAATCTGGCAGCCTCCTTGGTCGGCATACACACTTTGAACCCTTGAGTTTTAGAAAATCCTAGATATTGCCACACAAAAATTTCTCTCTTCTTGGGTAATATAATTGTATAAAATGTTTCATAAATATTGTCAGTTGAAACCTATGGCCATACAAAGTCCTCTACAGCAATTAGTCTTGCACTAGTGTGTTCAGCTAATTATATTTTTTAATGATAATGACAAAATAATTGGACTGGAAGTTTCTCTTACCAAACAGTAATAATAGATTAAATGTGGGATTTCATGCCCTGCATAAAATAACCATTATTCATGTTGAATGTTATGAAAATAAAAACCATCAGTATTAATAGTGTCTCACTATATTTGTACAATTCAAATAAATTACATTTGTGCAATTGTAACCATTTCACAACACACATTACAAACTTTGTGTCAGATAAATTAAATATTAAAATTGGCCTACCATTTGGAATGTAGAAAAAAATGGCTAGGAAATTACAGCATTGTAAATTATATATTGCTAAGTGTTGATTCTAGCATGATTGTCTAAATCTAAACTTAAATTTGATAAGTGTATTCATTCTCTATACAGAATGACAAGGAGAGACTGGTTAAATGGAGTTTCAAGATAGAGAATCACACCTGAATTAACACCAATGTCATACTTGCAATATAGATCATAAATTGTGGCTTATACTAAAATTGACAAGAAACTTGCATGCCCTAATTGATATGTCAAAAATTGTGACATTATTAACTTAAATTTAATGAATAGAATGAAAAAAAATAGTTATGAAATCTTTTGAGCACAGTGGTAATATCTAATAAATTACTGTAAAGTCCCTTGTTATGTTAATCACAGGTCTTCCTTGTTTTGTTTTCCATTTTTATCAAAAATCTGGAATGACTGTAGAATGTTAAGCCTCATGCCAAGTTCTTTTTTCTTTTCCTCTGATATTTTACCACTTAGTAATTTTTTCACTCTATCATTCTCTGATTTAACAAAATCATCACCCTTTTCTAGAACTTTCTCCATTATTGTTTTATATATTTTTCCAGATACAGTATCCTGAAATATATGTAAAAAAAGAATTTAAAATGTAGTCAGTAGATACTATGTTAAAAAATAAATGAATATGTTCAATATAACAATAAAATGAGGGACATAAATTCTGCTACTTGCCTTTTCTCTCAAATTTGTCAGAACTTCTTCAGTTTTAGCAAACAGTTTTTTCCTCTCGTCTGTTTTGGCTTTTATAAATTTAGTGGCGAGTTTGTCTAGTTCTCGTACGCATCCTGGTAAGCTGAGGTACAAGCCGGTATTTTCCCGCACAAACCGCCGTAGTTCATCACTAGTAAAACCTTTGATATCATCAAATGCTATTGGCTCTGTTTTGCCTTTGACAAATAACTTTACGACAGGAAAGTTATCTTTCGTAGCCCCGTACTTCTTTGCTAATTCTTCATTATCTTTTTCACCGTAATCCTTTACTCCGACTTCGGCGACTAAAAGTTCATCCACATCCTTTGCGTCTTTTGCGAGCGCCACGAAAGCATCGTGTTTATCACCGTATGGGAAAGCCACATCGAATTTTATGAGTGAAGCTTCAAACTTTCCAGTAATTTTATCAAAAGAATATTCATCTAATTCGACCGAACCATGGGATGTTGCAGCTTGATACGTAGAAGGTACAATTAAAGATATAGACAGAAACAAAAGCAACTGCATTATTAGTATGGTACGGGTTTATTCTAGAATATTGTATGAAATTGTAAGATCTGACCGTACTTTTACAAATTATAAAACTAAACAAATCAAGCAATTCACTCAGCCGCTCGATTTTATTGACTGACGTTTAATTCTGTTTTCTATTACAAAAGTGACAAACTATACAAATACATTCCGTTACACGCTACAAAATAATGATATTTCTTTTTTTAAAAGTCACAGTAACATAACATAAATTAGCTGTTTTTAATGAAATTAGTAGAAAAAAGGTTGATCGGTTAAAATATTTTTTTTATGATTATTCTCGATTTCAGAAAGAGAAAAATGACCTGCCAAAGTTAGTCTTCTTAAATTTATAGTTAGTCTGTCAGTCAAACACTCAAACCGTGGATAATTCTTATTGGCTTAAATTGGGATTTAATGTAAAGTACGTTTTCGATTACAAACCTTATGCAGTGGTTCACAGCCAAAGTAACAACAGTAACATGCGACCAAGGAACTTATAATATACTAACTGGAATCCATACGAAACATTACGGACCGTTCTACGCCACTGCGCACGAATCCGCATTTTAGCTAGGTCGATCGAGATAGCATCGCACGGCGTCAAATATGCATTTGACGCCACGATGGTAGCTCGGCTCGTCGAGTCTGGCATACTGTCGGAAAGGCTGAATCGCTGGCTGAGCTCCTACGTTTGTTTGTTGGAGTTCGAGGCGGGCGAAACACCTGCTCTCTGCCCCGCCGAGGAGATGGCCCTAGAGGCGTTGCAGGCACTTAGCGGCTCGCCGCTCATGCTTCCGCCTCCATCTACGCCACTCCCTCACAAGCGCCGCCTCGCCACCTCCTAGCCAAAAGCCGAGGACAAGCGTCCTCGAACAGGACCCCCGCGCCTACGCCGGTCACTCAGCAGCGGTGACCACCCAGAGTCGACGCCACCATCACCATCGCAGCAGCCAACTCCAGTAGCGCAGTGCGACTACCCACCACGGAGAGTAATCGCAGCCACTGCTTTACCGACACCACCACCGGTGAGCTATGTGCAAATCGCGAAAAAGTTCGCACGTACCCCCAACGCCGCCAACAAATCTTCACCCATTGCCGCATCGCACACAGCAGCGCCGCCCGTGCAACCAGCTCCGGGCACAGCTCCCACGGCACAACGGGCACATAAGTACCCACCGCTAGTATTCGAGCACCTGCCGGACTGGCCCACCCAATTGAAACTCCTGAGCGACGCCCTTGGCGCGAGCGCACTCAACGCATGCCCGTTCGGACCGTTTACGCCAGCAGACGGCGATGAGTACCGCATCATCCAGGCTCACCTCACCAAACTGGAGGGGCAGGGCGGGCTGAGCTGGTACTCATACGCCCTCCCAGAGGACCGCAGCCTAAAGGTGTCCATCCGAGGGCTGCCTTTTAACACCAAGCCGTAGCAAGTCACCGAGGCCCTATCTGCCAAGGGCTACGGATTCGAGCACGTGAAGCAGATCCGGGCGCCAGCAGCCCGCCCCGGATGTATCTTCTAAGCAGCCGTGAAAAGAACCTCAGGCGTCATCCCGTCCATTTACTCGGTGAGTGAGCTCCTGTGTATGGCTAGAATCACCATCGAGGCATGGAGAAGCAAGATGAGTCCTGCGCAGTGCCATCGCTGCCTGGGCTTTAGACACTCCAGCAAGGAATGCCACCGCATGCTTGCCTGCGTGCGTTACGGACCCGCACGCCGCCGACTGTCCCCGCCCGCTCGCGCAACTCGAAACGTGCGCTAATTGTAAAGGCCCGCATCCAGCCAATCACTCTTCGTGCCCCGTGATTCTTCGCGAGGCATGAAACAGAAGAGCGACCACAGTGACCCGAACAGGCCGCACCCCCGCCGTACCACCCCAAAGGAACGAGGTGAGCGAGCACGCGCCGGCCACCCTATTGGCCCCCGCGAACGCCGCACCCACGCAAGCGAAGCCCAAAACCCGCCGTCGCCGCAAGAAACTTACGCCATCATCGTCAAAAGTCATTTATTCAGTCTAGGCAGTTACAAGCACTTGTGAAGGTCAAGAAGCTACGCCATCGGTTCGCAAAACTACGGCGGGAGACCTTGTACTGAGAAGAACCGGCAAGAAACTCAGCAAGGGCTGTTTTTTTCTCCCTGTATTGTTATATACAGAGTCATCAAGTTGAAAAATGACTTCAGAGATACGTCTGAAGTCACCTTCCATTACATCATTTAGAATATAAATATATAGTTACAATAAATTTTATGGTTAACATTATATTCAGTATATAGGAATCAGCATTAGACAGGTACAATATTATTGTTATGAAAAATGACTAATACCCATTAAATAACAAATTATAAGAAACACTATGTCCATGCATTACGATCATTCAGATAATCATCAACTTTATAATAGCCCTTATTCATAAGAGTTTTTTTGATCTAAGATTTAAATTTAGTCAGTGGAAGCTCAATCAGATCTAGGGGAACTTTATTAAACAATGCAATACTACAACCCAGAAATGAACCTCTTGATTTTGGAGTCTGAAACATGGAACGCCAAGCTTGTTCTTAAATCTCGTGTTAAAGTTATGGGTTTGACTTTTTTTGCAAATGCATCATAGTTTTTTTCTTACATATTATATTAAATTTTCATAAATGTATTGCGACGCCAGAGTTAAAATATTAATTTCTTTAATTTTTTCTCTAATGGATTCTCTTGCCTTTAAATTGTATATAGCGCGAACAGCTCTCTTTTGCAGTATGAAAATACTTTCGATATTAGCAGCTGAGCCCCACAACGAAAGGCCATATGACATAATACTATGAAAGTAACCAAAGTAAACTAATCTTGCCGTTTCCACACCAGTTAAGAGTTTTATTTTTTTAACAGCGAAAGCTGCAGAGCTCAATCTACTTGACAAGGCATCAATATGAGGATACCATTGCAGACGAGAGTCTAAAGTAATACCCAGAAACTTTGTAGAATCCACTAACTCTACAGGCTGGTCATTTATTTTTATACTAGTATTAACCTGCCTCACATTAGGTAGAGTAAAGTTAACGCATTTTGTTTTACTGGAGTTAAGTTTTAAATTATTTACTGTAAACCAGTGAAGGACTTCAGAGAGAGCACAATTTACTTCGTCATAACAATCATTTCCGTTTCTAGCTTTAAACAATAAAGAGGTGTCATCAGCAAATAGTACTGTCACACACAAATCTCTTGTAAAGTGATATAAATAAGGAAAAGCAATGGGCCCAATATTGAACCCTGGGGCACGCCCATTGCAATAGGCGCTCCTGTAGACTCAGCTTCATTTATAACTATTTTCTGAATCCTAGCAGAAAGATACACCATAATGCTAAGTCAGTCGACCGCTCGGTGGTCGCTCACTGCGCTTCCCTCACGGGTTTCACCCGGTGGGCTTGACCGCGTGAAGACATAGAGAGGGGGATTGACCCCAAGGACAGTCCCGTTTGTTAACGGGACTCGAACCCGATACGTCTGAGGTGGGCAACATGCCCAGTACAGTACAGATTACCCGCACGCCGCATCGGCTTCGGCGCCGGCGACGCGCGAGAAGCTACTACGAAACAATATGGGGATTCAAAAAAATGTACTCTAACCAGTTACACATAAACTCCATTTTTGTTTCTACCTTCATAAGGGGGAAAAATACCTAGCGCGACAACGACGAAAGTGGAATCAGTCCTTCTCTTGCAACTGTTTGGGCACACTACTAGAACGAGACAGATTCCACCAATTCATTTATGCTCTTGGAACGATTTTGAAGGTCACGTAAGCATTCCAGTTAGTATATAAGTTCCTTGCATGCGACAATCTTGACTCGGAAATGACGTTCATGAACAGTCAAGAAAGAAATGTGTTGCTGTAATTAAAAAACTATTTAAAATTAAAATACAATTATCTTACCAGTTTATAGAGAAAAAAATGTAGTTTTACAAACGCAAATAAAAAAATAAAACGATTTTTCCGACTTAATACCCTATTGTTTGTGACGTGCGATATGGTCTGCCTGCTCAGTTCTCTGAGCAGTTCCTGCATGAGCGTAGAATTCGCATCCTTACGGACGAATGTAGTTCGCAGTTCATGTCAGTGAATGCCGGTGTTCCTCAGTGCTCTGTCCTATCAGTATCAGTGATCAAAACAGCTTCACGCAAACTCTGAGTCCTGAACAAGGTGCGGCGTTTATTAACGCCTGATCAACTGTGCTTGTTGTACAAAACGCAAGTGCGGCTCTGCGAAGAATATTGCTCGTACCATTGGGATGGCTCCACTAAATACTTGTTGCAGCGGTGCGCTGCCCACATCATTGGTGATGAAGAACTAACAAACTCGAGTTTCTACAATTACTCTGCGGTGTAGCATCATTAAGCGCATTCTACCAACTACACCATGGCAGCCCAAAAGAGTGCGAGAGTTGGGACACGCACGTAGACAACTCCGCTGCACAATGTTTCAGTACAACTGCTGGGATGCCTGAGTGCCACAATGACGTAGTGTTGGTGGCAGTGCATTGCAACCTTGCATTACATTCGGGAGTTAGCCTCAGCTTTGCCAATAAATCGGCAAATTGCAAATAATCTTTCTCCTGCGGCATTTCGATTTCGTTTATTTAGAGCTATGCTATTATGATAGAGCATTGAGTAATAGTTTTATATGCACTATAAAATTTCTCTCTTGCAAAATATGTAGGTATTTACATGTAAAACTTTAACTACAAACATTTTATAAGTCTAGTAGCGGAAATGGAAAAAATAACGCAAGGAAAATATTTTTTTACGTTCTTTACGACATTATTTTTGACGAGTGGTACAAATTCGATGAAAGTGAAAAAACTTGATGGAATTGGTCCAGGTTTGCATAAAATCGTTAAATTTGGTGTAAGAGAAGTCTTAGAGTGGTATATACTCTAAGAAGAGAAGTAGCCCGCGATCGTATTATAACTTCCTAAAGGGGCATGTAGAATTTTGAAGTCTTTCTAAAATGTGCCCATTTCTGGGCAGTAATGTAAGGTAGGATCCCAGGCAATATTTACTTTGTGAGAACGGAATTTTTTTAAAACAAAATTTATTGACTAGTGAGAAGTAATGAGTGCCCCTAAGTGTGTGTTTATTGGAAATATTTTATTATATTTTTATTTTAAGCATTAAACTGCTAGATTTATGAATCTAAAGAAAATATTTACAAGAAGAAGTTCAACTTGGTCCAGGGTATCAGACTGGTTGCAAAACTGCGCCTTTCGTTATCAAGGCGGAAAGTATTTCTTATTTTTTTTTTGATTTGTTATTTATTCTTACAATAACTTTGAATTTGTTTATAAAACTTAAAAGTGCGTCCAGCGGCCAACTTTACGACTTCCAACACAATACTGGGCTTCTTTGGCCGAGGCGCCTAACGGCTATCAACCTGTTTCCAGTGGTATGTTCACTATAGAGGTATGGTCCATGGTGGATAGTCAGCCGTACTTTATCTCTCATACCTACCAGGCAGAACAACGCCCTAATCTACCCCGCAATAAGCGGACATTCGGCGGCCGCTGTCGCGGCATGCTCGCTTCTCTCGCACGGTTCGCGCGCTTTAGTCAGAACACTATCACTTATCACCTACCCTAGTGATTTTTATATTTCATATGGACTCGATGGTGATAAGAGAAAGTATTTTTTATCTTTCTTTCTATTTTAAGAAGATTTTGTAATAAAAATCCAATTGCTACACTAACCGTAATTTAAAAAGGCACACCAATCAAATACACTGTTTAAAGAAATGTTTTCTCTGCTGTCCTATTCTATATCTTGCTGTCTGCGGTGTGACTGAGTTTTTTGCAGATACATAATAAAACAAGCCGCCTCTTTATGTTTAAATTACTGACAAAGTCTTTGTATGCAGGCCAAATATTTTTTAGGCTGTTGTTGTTTGCTAACCAAAATCTTTAAATGGCATGCTAAATAATTACTTTTATTTATAGTATCAAGCAAAAAACGGCAAAAATCACAACTGTTGTATGGGAGCAATATTGTATGGGAGAAAAAATTTGGAATAATTTGTATATGTATTTATTTGTTACTTAGGTTTTCACGCACATCACTCATTAAATAAAACTAGTTTTTTACGGGTTAATGCAAATAAAAATTTGATTCCGACGACGTAGCCTGTAAAGGCTACGAAACGTCAATAAATAAATAAAGTTTCGTGCATTAACCCGTAAAAAACTAGTTTTATTTTATGTATATGTATTTGTAGAAAATGAAAGGGTTTAAAATATTTACTTATAATATATAAATAAATGTTCTTCTTTTATGACAGCGATTGATCCAACAAAGCATATAGATTATTATGTTCAAGACAATCAACTTGGTGCTCAGTGGCCTCATGGGATTGTACCTTATTATTTGAGCCTTACAGATTATGGTAAGACAAAAGTTTCTTAGCAGGTATTTTTCAAGGAAATAAAGGAGATTCTCATCTATAATGTCTTATTATAGACCAGCTTGTACATCGACGCGTACGCATGGCTATGAACAACTTGGAAGACGCATCTTGTATCAAGTTCAAGGCGCTGCCAAAACCGTCTCACTTCGCACCTTGGATACATATTAACAATCCTGACAAAATACGCGAATGCATGCACCTGGGCGAGAACAACACTAATTTAGAGAGAGTAAGTGCTAAAGTATGATTTACCTACCATATTAATTTGAACTTGAATGGACCGATTGGAAGGAATGATTTAAATACAATTGTTAAACTAAAACTTAATGTTGTTTAGCAGTAGGAAATATGCATGATTATTTTTTATATTTTTATTTCATAGTTTACATTTCCTTAATATATACATAAAAATAATGTTAAGAATTGCCACTTTGCACGGGCATAAAAGCGCCTACTGACATGCCTGCCGCAGGGACAAACTAAGGTATAAGAGTGGGGGTGACCCTTAATTGCCTCCTGAATTCTGATGTGTGTAGGCAAGTTGGTGCAATTTTATAAATCGGGCCTACGGCAGGGAGGCAAAAGCGCGAGACCACCCTTGGTTCCTAGATTGTCCCTGCCGCCCTGCACGTTGCCGCGTGTGTAACGTGATCGGGGCAATTTCTCAATCAGTCGGTTGGTAGCTGTCACACGGAGCGCAAGTATTTCATATATTTGAATTTCCCAAAAAATCTTTGCACTGTTCCATAATTAATTTCTTGCTAAAAATATTTTTTTTTATAGAAAATGGATGGAGGGATAATCGAATTTATATAAAAAAATTTAGCCTAATTTGATTTACATGCATATTCCCTATTAGCTTTCCGCTGGCAGAATCCCTTGCGAGCGCAGGCTGAATTTTCCAAAAAACCTATATTTTCATTCAACAATTTTCACATTACTATCAATTTCACTATTCATTTTAAATTTACCAAGTTTTATGCAGACGTTCATCCCTTATTTTAACCCCTTCAATGTGATTTTGAAAAACCTTGCGGATTAATAACTCATTACTGATAGTAATAAAAAACAATTGCCGCTAATTTTAATTACATTTCTTGTGCTAAATCTGGCATCGATAAATTTTCTTTATTTTGTCGCTCCTTTTTTTATTCTAACCGCGTAACATTTATGCTTGGTATAGCATAAGCATGATCACCTCATCGAAACACGATGTATCGTTGATTAACTCGCAAAATTCTTTGTATTTTGATGAACCTAATACCGGTCATACACACAGTTCGAACGGAACAGTTTATACGATTTCGTTTAGTATAGGAAACTGTGCAGTTTTATAACATACACGCTACGATTTATCGGTACCGTTCGTTCGGACTGTACAGTCTAATCGTAACGATTTCTCGTAGTGTGTATGGCCGGTATAAGCCTGTAATAATATATCGTTTTATTATATTTTGTTGCGTGGTCACTCTACACAACCAAGTACGGGTATACAAGCAATGCTATTCACTAACGATAAACTCACTTTTCACTACGGAAGGCGCGGTGTGATTTGAAATTTATATGAAACTCAATTTCTGATTTCAAATCATACCGCGGATTCCGCGTTGAACAGTAAGTTTCTTCTTACAGCAAAGTACTGCAGAAACCACCACACCACCACAGAAACTTCTTTGTGTTCTGTGGAACTAAACTGGTTTGTGTGTTGCCTTGAATCCAATGAAATCTTTATCTTCAGCGTTTAGTTTTTGGCTACGATTGTCTCAATCGACGTGAGATTCTGCACTCGTTGATGCACGCCATTGGTTTCAAGGACGAAGTGATGCACCCACAGCGAGATCAATACATCAGGATCCAATGGGAGAACATCAACCCAAGTACGATGTTTATCATACCGCACTGACTTGAACGAGTATCGTACCTGCGTATTTGAATAATTTTATATGTTAAGAAACTTTGATTTAAATGAAAATTTAACGCCGGTTTTACTTTATTTGGTTTGTTGAATGGGAGTATACGAACATACTAATCCGCCATCGTCCATGTCTGCCATCATAGGTCGAGGTCATGTTTAGGTAGGTCGTCCGCCATATTGGATTTAGAACGACGTCATTAATTCAATAAATAACCATATATTGTCATCAAAACTTCGAACCAAACATACAAGGCTACATATCATTTGTTTTATTTAACTTTGCAATATATGTATGTAAATACCATTGCAAGTAAAATAAAGGCTTTAAAAATATTTTCATGACAGTTCTTTTTCACTTTTAGAATACTATCCATTGTTCCGTGTTCAATATATGGACTTCGCTCCCATAAGGACCGAGTATGATCCATCGAGCATCATGCATTTCCACGATCGTGCTTTTAGCAAGAACGGACAAGCAACAATCGCACCTTTGGTAAACTTTACTTTGTCTAAATATGTTTCATGTCGACTAGTTAGTAACTACCCTACTAATAAAATGCCATACACTATTTGATATATATATTGAAGATTCAACGAAATAGTCTTACATATTCAGCACATAAACAATAAAAGCCAAAAGGTGTTTTCATTGTCTGTTTATAGTTGCCTGGATTGGAGATAGGATCCACGGGCGAGCTATCTTCGTTGGATAAGTTAAAGTTACGCTTGATATTTGGTCACGAATGTAACAAAAGGAGAGTTGGTGATTTACTTGATTCGTGTAAATTAGTCATGAGCGATGGTTCTCCAAACAGCATAAGCAAAAATGCGACCACTTATTTAAATGCACCTGATGAGCCAGGTGATGTACAGAATGAAAACATTGATGAACAGAATAATAAAAGTACTGAAGTAAATGAAAATACTGAGGTAAATGATAATAATGAAATAAACAAAAATACTGAAGTAAATCAAAATACTGAAGTAAATGATAATACTGACGATGATGAAAATATAAGCGGCAATGATAATACTGTTGGTAGTGGTAACACTGGCGTAAACGATAATACTAATGGTAAGGATAATACTAGCGTTAATGACAACGCTAGCGGCAGTGATAATTATGTAGGAATTGGTAATACCGGTGTGATTGAAAAATCGGACGATAATGACAATACGCGTAGTAATGATAAAGCTGACAATAGTGGCAAAACTGCCGGTAGTAATAACGAAAGTAACAATGGAAACAATGCTTATGATAGTAATGGTCCAAATAGTAAAAAAGTTTATGGGACTGAAAATAAAGGTGATACAAATACAGATATTAAAAGCGATTTCAAAATAGAAACAAGAAGAAATGTCGGACTACGGAAGCAACATCGTCGGTTTAACAGATTTCGATATTAAATAGCGTTGATTTTTGCAGAATATAATTGTTTTTATTAAATTTAGTTGTTATAATTTTAATTTTTAAGCATGTAACTGCTTGATATTTAAATGTAAAGAAAATAAAACTAGAAAATTTTCCAAAGGTCCACGTGGAATTTTTTCTAGATATATTTTCTTTAAATTTAATTGTGTGCTTTACAGTTATGAATATCGATTGATATATATTCGTTTTGGCAAAGGCTGGCTAGACGGTTTAAGTTTAGGTTAAGAGAATCGTGTCAGAATTGACACCAATAATACTATAACATAATAATAGTCTAATATGCTGATAATAGAATGAAACATATTTTATCATGAATTTAGTATATTAGAAAATATATTAAATATGGATTGCTTAAAATAATCCTGGACAGACTATTACTTATTAGCTTAGATAAAAACAAATAGTTTTAATCTAAGGTTATTAGTGTAAAAGGTAAGGCGATTATGTACGATAAAGTCTTACTTCCAATTTCAGTAGCAGCCATTTTAGACATGAGTTTGATATGCATTACGCCATTACAAGGCAAAATGTCGCTAATGTCTGTAGAAGCAGCCAGTATTAGATATTCGACATTTGCCTGAAATCCGAATATATTAGATCATAAGTGAGATTGGATTGCATCTTACAATATACCTATGCTGGTGTGCTTTGTAATGTGACAGTAAATATTTTGAGTTCCTAACAACTTGTATAAAAACGGTAGTACGGTAAGGTTACGAGAGGGTATGGAATTGGTCCAAAAGTCCCTAAAAATGCTGGGCTTTGTTCCAACCCAAATGGAATGAGGTAAGTATTATATACTCTGAAAATTGTCGTGCAGTGGCCGCTTATTTTCAACCCGGCTTTATGCTATTGTTTTAAAATTAGAGGACAAAATACAAACACTGAACACAATACTTTGATTCGTTCATATTTTATTAATGCGCACTCTCTTGTTTCTTTCTCTCAACACACTGCTCGAAGTAAAGATTGTTTAGTTTTTGTACGTCGATCGAACTAAGTCCTTGCCAGTGTCCCATTGCCCAGCCGTCATTCTGTAAAAGCAAGAAGAATATTGTACATATTTATTTCAAGGCGTGATGATTTAGTTACCCGGCGTATATTGGTACATACGCCGTATGTAAAATTTCACGAAAATCGGTCGAGCCGTTTCGGAGTCGTTCAGTGACACGAGAATTATATTTATTACAAGATGTCTTAAGTTCTTCAAAATATTTCTATCTTACCCATATAGGATACATCACATTGGTGACGCCATTCTTTATTTGTAGCCAGGGGTAGTGCATGACGCTCTGATAATCGTATGTGAAGCCAACCGATGCAGCTGGTGGCAACTTGTCTTTCATTTCATTCCTGATTTCTGTAACAACGTCACGGTGCAACATTATATTTATTCCTTGCTATTTAAACCTTAACTTTAATCATCATCAGCCTATTAATGTCCCCACTGCTATAGGCCACTCATGCGGGCCTAATGTGGATGCTAACGACTGCAGATGCAGCCGGGATCACTTGCCTTCCGAAGCACGGAGAAGTTCGAGATAATAAGTTTTTGGTCACCGTCCATTGACTATTGTGAAAGTTGCTTAATTTCCACGAGGTCCTTTTTTATATATTACTAACCAACCTAGCGAACTTCATACCGCCACAAAAATAATAGTTGTTGGTAGGTGGTGGTCGTAGTAAAATTTTCGATTTTAAGTATTTTTATACCAAATAATAAACATAAAAACTGCCATTAAAAAAATAGAGCATAACAATTCTTAAGAGTGTCTGAACCCTTATCATCAAGGGGTACATAAAACGAACTTTTCTCAGACCTACCATATACACAAATTATATAAATTGTGTAGCCGTGTCAGAGGAGTTTTGATATTACGGCGATATTATTATTATACTATTATTAATTATTGAAGTTATACTTCTTTAGGCGCGTTATGAAAAATTGATGAGAGTGAAATTTTAAGATGCGCGCGCATCACTGTAACACAAAATTTTAACAGCATGAAGTTGGTCGCTTTAGCCACCAACTTCATGCGTTACTTTTGTGTTTACCGCGCATTAAGAAAATCTACCAACAAAATAGAAATAGAATCTCTATTTAGTGGGTGCTAACGACTGCATTGTGAAGGCCTATCAAAAGTATTTATTAATATGGAACAACGGAACCAAAGCGCGATTCAGGAGACTATAGCGCAATCTCTTGACCATTGGTGTAGTAGAACCAAAAACCACATCTTTATTTTTGAAGTTATACTTCTTTAGGCGCGTTGTGAAAAATTGATGAGAGTGAAATTTTAAGATGCGCGCGCATCATGTAACACTAAGTTTTAACACCATGAAGTTGGTCGCTTTAGCGACCAACTTCATGTACCGCGCTGCCATTACCGCGTCGCCCGCCGCACCGTACGCATGCGCGGCCACTCGCGGTCCTAGCGCGGGAAACACGTGCACCAAACATCGGGAAAAGTTACGAGTTTTGAATTTAGAACAGAGACTGTTTTCATATCTATCTATATATATAAAAATGAAACCCGTTTTCCGTTGTCACGACATAACATGAAAACGGCTTGACCGATTTGGCTGTTTTTTTTTTGTAGTTTTCTAATACTCTGTACAAGGTTCTTACGGAAAAAAATATAAAGAAAATCCCAAGGGGATAAAATAAGGAATGAAAGTTTGTATGAAACTTTATCAATTTTAAACCGATCGGGCTGAGACTTTGCATGCAGGTATAAGAAGAATCATAGATGAATGTCATTGTGTATAATACAAGCCTGAGAACAAAAACTGTAGTCTACACTTCAGCTCTACACCGAAGCGAAGCGAGGGCGGGCCGCTAGTCTATATATATAAAAATGAAACCCGTTTTCCGTTGTCACGACATAACATGAAAACGGCTTGACCGATTTGGCTGTTTTTTTTTTGTAGTTTTCTAATACTCTGTACAAGGTTCTTACGGAAAAAAATATAAAGAAAATCCCAAGGGGATAAAATAAGGAATGAAAGTTTGTATGAAACTTTATCAATTTTAAACCGATGGGGCTGAGACTTTGCATGCAGGTATAAGAAGAATCATAGATGAATGTCATTGTGTATAATACAAGCCTGAGAACAAAAACTGTAGTCTACACTTCAGCTCTACACCGAAGCGAAGCGAGGGCGGGCCGCTAGTTTATAATATTTATCCACATGTTTCTAGTTTGTATATTCGGAATACGTGTTTGAGTTTCATACAAGTGCAAATCACATATGTTCTAATAAATTATATTCAGTAGCGATTTTAATTGAATATTTTGATTATTTATTTATTTTTTCAAATTAAAACTGAACTTTATTGACTGTGTCCTTTTCCAGACTTTTTATTAATTTATTGTAATTAATTATTTGCATGCAATTAAAAACTAATTTCAAACGATGCCAAAGAAGGATAACTTCTCACGCGCCTACATAAGTACACGCACCGATTTTTTTGTAATAAAGTAACAGTTATAGGTATTCATATTTATAATATTTATCCACATGTTTCTAGTTTGTATATTCGGAATACGTGTTTGAGTTTCATACAAGTGCAAATCACATATGTTCTAATAAATTATATTCAGTAGCGATTTTAATTGAATATTTTGATTATTTATTTATTTTTTCAAATTAAAACTGAACTTTATTGACTGTGTCCTTTTCAAGACTTTTTATTAATTTATTGTAATTAATTATTTGCATGCAATTAAAAACTAATTTTAAACGATGCCAAAGAAGGATAACTTCTCACGCGCCTACATAAGTACACGCACCCATTTTTTTTGTAAATACGGCGACACAAGATTTTTATATATCCGCCTGATGGCAAGTGATTAAAGTGGCCTATGGCTACAGTGGTCTATGAACATAACAGTAAAAGTATCGTACGCGCATTTCCGACCCTGTGAAACGCATACGTCTGTTGAAACAATGCATGCTATATTAATTTGGGAAAACCTCAAAAACGAGCTAAAAATTTTATAGCTTAATCGTATATAGGAGAAAATGTCTCTGAAAACGCACAGTATACGACCAAGTCGTAAGGATGCGATGATCTCCTTGTCACCTTTACCGTATGCCGTTATAAGCTCGCTAATAAAGACACTGAAAAATAAGCATTGTTCTTGACTTACCTTGAAAATATTAATATTGATATTAGTTAAGATCAATCGGCAAATTTCCTACGAACCTGGTGTAAGTTTGTCCCACAAAATATGAAGGAAATCGTCGCGGTCGTGCATATTGTGTTGATGTTCCAATCCCAATATGTGCACAATCAGGTGCAGTAAATCGTTAACAGAATTAAAACAATCAGCGCTGATTTTTAATACCTGGAAAACAGTAGGCATTTAGAAAAAAAGGGTTAGTATTACAAGTTGTAACGAGTAAAGTCGAATCTCAAAATCAAAGCATTAAGTATTTTATAGCTATTATTTTTTTTAAGCATTTAACTGCTACTTCTTTAAATCTAAGGAATAAGTATTTTACTAGAAAAATTCCACGTGGATGTGGGTTACCTACAATGCGAAGAGATGGCGCTGGCTTTCAGTCTTAGCAATGATAGAGAAAATTCGACACAGTCATATAAAGGTTTTTTTCTCCTATAATTTTCTTTAGATTTAATCATAGCATTGATGGCCGATGTCATTGAATTAAATGTCATAAATTATGAATTTTATTTTCTTTTAGGATATAAAAGAATATTTAGGTAAAAAATAAACACAGATATACATACTATAAATTTTCGGTGATGAGGTTTAGATGAGTTCTCAAAACGATCTATTAAAATTTTTTTTTGTGAATTATTTGTGCTGAAAAAAGTAATAGAATTTTAGGAGTTAAAGTTTACCGCATTCCCAAAAGGTTTCCCTGGAGGAGGACAGGCGCATCCTGGTTCTGAAGACCTTTCCAAGACGAGAATATTTTGCGCATGTCGTCGATATATTTTTGCGTTACGTGGTTTCATTAATTGTTCTGGTTTTATTATTTTTGATAGTCTCACTTTTTGTTGCTTTTTCTTATTGCCTGAAGATCAATAGTATTTTATTAAAACCTACCTTCAATAATCATTTGCCCATATCCTTGACCATAATTTTATTTTGAGGTAGGTATTACACGCTCACATGATTCAATAATTTTTATTTATGAAGATTTTCACAGTCTGACTTCACATTTACTTCTTATTATCACAAAACATTTAAGCTTAGCAATAAGGAAATCATCACCTTTTCTTAAAAGACTTTTGCTATTGTCTGGGATCGCAGGAGATTTACTTCCATTATCACTATCAAGTTTCACAATGTCATTTTTTCCTTCTGCTCCTGATTGGCCGGGATTGTCACTGTCAGCTAACTGAACTATATCACCACCAGTTTCACTCACTGGGCCTACGTCATCACTATTCTGAGGACTTTCAGGAGCTCCTACGCTGTTTGTTTCCGATCCCGATTTTTGGAAACCCTCATTCTCAGTCAACTTTCCAGTCATTTGTCCTGCATCATCGCTATAAGGAACGTTATCAATTGCTCCTTCACCGTTTGTTTCTGTTCCTGATTTTTGAACACCCTCACTGTCAGCTAACTGTTCTACATCACGATCGCCATCCGCTTCACCTCGGTCATCATTGTCTTCTTCTTCGGAAATATCTTTAAATCTGATACACGTTTCCTTTTCTATGTGGCTGATTACGGATTGAATATTTTCTCTTTCTTCAGTAGCTATAAAAACAGAGATAGATAGCACATATATATATATATATATATATATATATATATATATATATATATATATATACCTATACATATATTTATATATAAATGCTATCTTGTATTTAAACTAACAGTTACTTTTTACATTTAAAGCTTATCTAAGATCACATTCGATGATCATATATCGATGAAGATGCATTATTGATACTCACTGAATTCCATTTTATCTTTCAACTTGTAATTAACGATACCGTACGGCCATAGTCTATCTCTGTAGTAATCAGTTATATCTTCACGTGATACATTTTTCAATGGCGCAGTCGCTCGCACAACACTGGGACATGTTTTTAATAAGTATTGTCTGTTTCTTTCAATGCATTCATGTCCGTATATATAAGTGACTTTTTCTACATCCGTTTCACTTAGACCTTCACGTTGACCAAGTCTCACATCTTGTATAACCTAGTAAAATGTTAAAAATAACGAACAATTAATTAATTTAATTCTTAATGCACAATTGTACAATGGCGGACTTAATTCCGTAGGCATTCTCTACCAGTCAACCATAGAGTGTTGTGGAGAAAATTAGTGGTAGGGTGCACAACTAAGGTGGAAATCACATTTAAAGCAGTAAATATAAATATTTTAATAATATATAAATTTATCCGGTAAATAAATCCTATCGAAAAACAAATTGATGGAAAAGTTGTAGGTCATTACAATATCTACAAATATAGTACTTTGTACACTTTTTTCATAGAACCCAAAAGTATCTGTGAAAATCATAATAACCGACTTTTTGGCTTTTTATTTTTATGTCACCCAAGAAATACTATTCTTTTAGGAAATTTAGTGAAAAGTTTCGACAGTAATGCATATTTTTATAAATCATCATAAAGTAGAGGTTTCAGCAAACCATAAAACACGAGTACCTACGCCCAGCATACTCACCAAAAGGAAAAAATTGTCTTTAAATTCGATAGCACACTTCTACATACATTGAGATTTGGTGCTGTACAGTCCATAATAATTTATACAGACACATTTTTATTTACTTTTGTTGAATTTAGTACTTATATAAATGTTACGAAGAACTTTAATATAATTGATAAAATGAATCATAGTAAAACATCTGTTAACCGAGATAAATTGGATTTTTTTTATTAATTATATATTATAAGCTATAATGGATTCGACTGTACCAAAACTCAATGTATGTAGAAGCCGAAATTCAAACAATTATTGCTTATTATATTTGAGCACTATTTTTTGGCATTCTTGAAATACCGGAATTTCAATGCCGTATGCTGGGCGTAGCTACACAAAAACTTACCAACTTTTTAAAGAGCGATGTGAGAATTTTAGATTTACCTAATATCGAAAGGAGCAAAAATAAAAATTATGATTAAAAAAATTACAGCGCGTTAGGAATATAATAAGATAAGTTTTAAAAGAAGTATTTTTAGGGTGGAGATAAAAAAAATAAGTGCAATATAGAAGATATAGACCTTTTATTAGGTACCTACAACTTTATGATTTCTTTTTTTTCGACAGGAGTAAGACTAGTCCAAATTATAAGGAATCTTAAACGTTTTTAGGAAAATAAATGCCCATAACCTATTAGAACAAAAACATTCAGGTGCAAGTCAATCGAATGTTAATTTTGTTCTTTTAATATTTTGGACATATGATTTAGGTAGATACAATTTTACATGAGTAGTAGTTTTACCGGAAAATTTCTATAAACCGTTTCCAGTCCCTTAAAAGGTCACCCCCATACCCTTCCCGACTTCAAATCAACGGTAAATTTATCTTTCCTCTTTTTAGGGTTTTGTACCCAAAGGGTAAAAACCCTATTACTAAGACTCCACTGTCTGTCTGTAACCAGCCTTTATCTCATGAACCGTGATAGCAAGACAGTTAAAATCTTGACAGATGATGTATTTCTTTTGCTGCTATAGTAACAAATACTAAAAACTGAATAAAACAAATATTTAAGAGGGGCTCCCATACAACAGATATGAAATGAAAAGTCATTTATTCAGTCTAGGCTCTTACAAGCACTTGTGAAGGTCAAGAAGCTACGCCATCGGTTCGCAAAACTCCGGCGGGAGACCTTGTACTGAGAAGAACCGGCAAGAAACTCAGCAAGGCCTGTTTTTTTCTCCCTGTATTGTTAGAAATGAATGATTTTTGATGATTTTTTTACCGTTTATTGCAGTTAATTATAATAAAGTATGTCTAATGTTGTATAGGTAATGATATGGATCCCTCCGTGTGCTAGTCAACTCGCACTTGGGGGGTTTTTTAAATGTTCTCTTACTTTTGAAATGGGTTTTGTACTGTTCTTAATTTTTTCGTCTCACAAAGATTATCGGCGACGTCCTTATGTTAAAAAAGATAGATATCTACCTGTCCCATAATGGTTATTTGACCGTTTTTGGAAAATGCTCTAGGTGGATAATGTAATACGCTTAAGTAGTCGTATGGTATATTCATCAGCTGGTCGTTGGTACGCTTTTCAAAATATTTTTTGTACCCTAAAAATTAAATAAATTTATCAATGTATCAAATGATATTTCACTTAAAACAAATAATTTGATTAAAATAAATATGCAGTAAATTGTTTGTTACAGAATTTATCCAATCGTCACATTTCGAAATGGATTGTCATTCATTTTAGAAGAAGTTTATTTGTACGATCGGCGCACATTTACAAAAATTCCAAATAAATATTAATGAATCACAAATAATAAATGAAAATAAAAATTAAAGGTGCTTATTAAGTGTGCCGCAACTACACAAAATGGCTGTAACTTAGTGATTTAATTCATTTATTTTACGTCAGGTGGGATAGAATATGTATTTAGGTGTCTCATGCTGTAGAACTCAGAATTAAATTATTGGTTGTAAATTCAACATAATGTGTACGGAACAAACCTGGTTTGACGTTGTTCCACAGTATCGTTATGTACTTATCCCGATCTGGTCTAGTGTGTTCGTGTGAGAAACCCAAAACATGCATGATTTCATGCACTATCTGACCAAGAGACAAGCAGTCGTAGCCGAAGACTATTTTCTGAAAAATATGAAAAGTTCGTTTGGTTGGTTCTAGTCAGACCCGTGTTTCCCATTGGGTACTTTGGGCAAGTGCCCAGGGCCCCGCGATCGATAGGGGGCCTCCTCAGATCAAATACAAAGTCCATAGTTCCTGTTAAATCACCAAACGGAAGTCATAGGGGCCCCATTATCCTAATATGCCCAGGGCTTCCAATAGGTCAAAGACGGCACTGGTTCTAGTATTCTACAATACCGAGGTAGGTGTTTAGTTAGACACTTCAATTAGAGCAGGCTCTTTAAAGATACTTTTCAGAAACCAATGAAACAATCTCTTATCTGAGGAAAATTTTACTAGAAACAATTGAAGTCGGTTCATGATCAAGATCACAGTAAAATAACACAATCTTTTGGTGGTGTCGTGTTTCTGTCGGTGAGTAAAGTTCTAGGGCCCCACGAGATAGGGGATTGGGACAGTTTAGGCAACGGTACGAGTGATAGTTTTGATGTTGCAAGCGTCTATAGACTATGGTAGCCGCTTACCATCACGGGGGGTCATACGCCTGTTTGTCACCCTTTAAAAAATAGTAAAATACTATTGAATAAAAATAGAACCGGCTTAAAAAAACTAAAAATAAAAAAAATTATTACCGACTGATATATTTGAAGTCGATACGATTATCACAGTCTCCCTGCTGAACTCATGACTTCAAATATATCAGTCAGTAAATCTTATTTTTTCGTTTTTATCAGTACGGTTCTATTTTTATTAAAAAATATTTTATATTTCGTTGGAAATTTTACACGCTACGCGGTTTTAACCGTGGGATACTGCCAGTTTTAGTGTTATATACAAAAATCTTCCCTGATAAATACGCTAATTACCTCATCCAAATCAGATCAGTAGATTTTGAAATAATCGCGGACAAACACACAGGTCAAACTGAGAACAAGCTCAATTTCCTTAAACCGGTTGTCGATTTTAAGAGAGTAGCCCCAGAATACTATTATTCCATTGCAGTTTTCTGTAAGGTGTAGGTTCATTCTTTAAAGCGCAACTAACCTTGGCTAACTAGCCCGTAATCGGGTGCACAAAAGATATTGCTATTTCTTCTTTCAAATGTTTAATATTTGTGAAAGTATTCATTTGACATTGTGGGTTACCTATAATGCGAAGAGATGGAGCTGCCTTGCAGCTTAAGAATGGCTAGAGGAATTTCGAAACGCAGTCCGTGAGGGCCGCGGTAGCATAATTGGTCAGTGCATTCGCCCGGATTGCGAAGGGTGCGGGTTCTAGTCCCGTCTGCTGCCTGGTGTGTGTGGAATTTTTTCTAGTTATATTTTCTTTATATTGTTTTACTTACGTTTGGGTACTGGAACACGGGCAAACGAGCCTGCACCCGCGTTCTAGTTCGAACGTATATCAGTGATGCTAGATTGGGGATAGGGGGAAATCAAAACGAATACAGGCGTACTCGACTCCGTTCCTTTACACTTAGCTGTTTGTCCGAATTCCATAGGCACTCGTATACGCGCTAACGACCAAGTGTAATTGCGACTTTAGAAGGATTTAGTTCTCGAGAATATCCTACCTGGACTCCTATGTTTTCCTTCTTCTCGTTACTGTGCACACACTGTCTGATGCCTGAAGGGTTCGTGATGTAAAGCCATTCGACGTTCTGCATGGATTCTTCGTCAGCGGGCTTATCTCGAAGCCTCTGCAATCTTATGCAGGTGGCTCTTTCGAAGTATTGGAACGCCTTCGTAATAATCTCGCCCAATTGTGCATCTGTCAATTAGTTACTTATTAGTGAAGGCAGCAGTCTCTCTTTTTCATTCCCTATAAAACACGATGATGGTATCATCATCATCAGTACAGGTACAGGCCTTCCCTATAAATGGAATAGGGAGACAGGGCTATGACCCACCACAGAGCCCAGTGCGCATTAGTGGGTGCTAAAGACTGCATATGCAGGCGGGACCAAACGTTTAACATGCCTTCCGAAGTACGGAGGAGCTCGAGATAGTAAAATTTGGTCACCCGTACAATGACCAACCACTGCGAAAGTTGCTTAACTTCAACGATTGCAGCTGAAAGCGGTAACCATTTGCGCCATATAGCTCGTCCGATATGCGATAAGGGTATACATATAGCAAACACGAGAAGCCACGTGCCATAAATGCATAAAACGTATAATGCGATTCAAATAAGAATAGGAAAGCCAATGACCTCCATCTGTCAAATGTCGCTTGAAAAGTACAGCTTGCAAAAAAATCTTGGAACCCTTTTTTAGCACTCAGCTAATTATGGAATAAAAACCAAACATTTGTACACAAACAATAACGAATATTGTTAATTAATATTGGTTGATATTTTATTTTCATTTATTGAGCTTTGGCTTTGAATGTTTGATAACCTAAATCGTCAACCAAATGTCACTTTAAGTTGCGTTTAGAAACTCGATTTAAAACTTTGGTTTACATATAGGATGCATGTTTGTATGTGACCTAGTAATAGTGCATGATTATTCATAACTACTCCGGCGGTAATACCGAGATGAGCAGAATTGAAGAGCTTAATTCTGATTAAGGTTTTTTCTAGCACAGTCTTAATAAATAAATGTTATTGAAAATCGGTTATTTTCTTTTCTCAATTTTAGTAAATACATTTTATTAAAAAAATGGATGTTTTTTCTCACTTAATCTTAGTAAATAACTTTTATTAAATATAAACTTTTTTGCTCACTCTACCTTTTTCGTTTGAATTGACAGCTATGACGTCACAATATGGCGCCCCGTCGATCCTATTCTTAGTTGAATCGCATTATATTGCACTTGTATTGTATACTAACTAAACTAAGCTTGATTTCGGTAAATTCATTTGATCGTTTATTGTCACCCTCAACAAAGGTGTAAGATTACTTTAAGATTGCATAGTTGACGCAGGTGAAGACGCTTTTAAGCTGTTGAGCTGTGCACGAACTGGTGCTAAGTAGTTCAAAGTTATTATTATGAGTAGGTTTTTCACCGTAAGTTTTAGGGTCGATGAAATATGGCACGATTCCGTGTTTCCACTTCTTATGCCACGGTACTGCTGGTGAATCATGGTCATCCTTCACGGAACCACTTGGAGGTGTCGTCGTTTGGTGTATCAATTCAGCTGGTGCAAAGTTGAATCTTCTCATGGTTTTATTAACTTCAAACTACAAAATGTTAGAAAATCATTTTTAATATAATTTCGGAAAGATTGGAAAGAATATGTTTGTGCTTTATTTATAGCTGGATAGGCAAATGACTCTACCCCACCTGATGTTAAGTGGTGGTAAAGTACAGACGCAAAGATAGCTTGTGCAGCAGTTATAAACTGCCACCCACACCAACGTCACCAACCTCTCACACTCGCCACCATTCTCATCTTTCCAGCTTGCAGAAATGCTTCTTCCCGTCTCCTTAAAAGGACCCTAGATTATAGGCAGGAGGGGACACGTGCGCGGACAAAGAATTCCACTTATGAATAGTATAACAAAGAAATGTGTCACCATATCTCTTTAATACTTTGAATAGTAGGTACTTTGTAGTTTAAGAATACCTTTTTAGGTAATTTTAGTCAAAATAAGGTATCGTCGAGACAATGACAATGAATGGTGTTTTATTACGAATATCACTAAAGGCCGTCAACTCTGTTAATCACACGGGCGAATCACATCGTATAATATAAGTCGTAAGACACTTACAGGTAAGTTCGTTTGACTTTCAATTATACTGCCGTCCTCAAGCTAAAACGCAGCAAAATGACAAAACCATCTTTTGAATTATTGCTATTTTGTAAGCATTCATCACATGACGGATTTTAAGACTAAAACTTTAAAAGATAGGAATTCTTGTTAAAGAGAGATGAGAATTAAAAACAGTATAAGATGCAATTTAAGACTGAAAATCGACCCACACTTTAGTTTGAGGACGGCAGTACAAGACATTAACCTGCTAGGACCCTGAAAGAATTTTTACACTATTTAAAGCTATACTTAAGTTTGAGGACGGCAGTATAAGACATTTACCTACTAGGATCCTGAAATAACTTTCGACTACATAAAATGAAATTTTTGCTCGAACGTTACGTTGCTGCACGGTAACGTCACGGAAGAAAGTTGCATTTTACGTAAGTAATGTATTAACATTAAAAACTCGCGCAAATGCGCTGCAAGACTGACATGCGGTGTAATTAGAGCCCTTTCACATTTTTGCAAAAAATCGTAATTTTTGAGCACCTCGTTTACCCACTTAAAAACGATTTTGACTATTTCCAATAGAAGTAAACAGTAGATTTATTCTTCCTATTGTAGGTTAATGTAGAAAATTTGCAAATACTATTTTCATTTTTTTGTACTGATCGTTCTACTGCAGCTTGTTTACGGAAAAATGATAATATACACAACTTAAAGCGCCTCAATCTTTCAATAATCTTCAATAAATTAGATCAAATTAATTACTACGACATCAGAAATATGTTTTTGTTGTAACATAATATATTAGAATTTTGATTTTCCATCTCATTAATTATCAAAAAAACATCTAACCTCCATGAGTCATCCCAAAAAAATAATGCAGGTTTACCTCGTATTTTGATATTGAATTAAATAGAATCACTTTTATGAAACTAATGTACCATCGTTGATCTACTGAAATATGTATATATTTTTATAATTAGTTCATTAGTTATTTTATAAGACTCCAAACAAAATGCAATATATACTAGTGCAAATCTACCTACGCGCCGATCAGTATATTTGTAAAAGGGTTCTTAAGTAGATAGGTACTTTTTTTTAAGAAAAACTAATGATTTTTGAAATATTCGTCTGGGATATTAAAACTATTTCATTATAATTCTATCTGGTGGCATAAAACGCGTATTCATCTTCTCCATAATTATATCAACACGAATACGTATTTCAATTGATTACCCAAAATTGACTTTACCGATTTCATTTTATTTTATAATACTTTGCTGAAAGTTCTTACGGAAATAATATAGAAAGTTCCACTGAAAATTAGACAATTTAAGAAAACTTATGTCGTGTTTTAGGATTCCTTTTTATTTTTATCGGAAAGGACCAAAGTCCAATAAGCTTTTTGGAAATGTCGAAAAAGTTTTTATTACCGCTGGCATAGTAGATGGCGCGAGAATCCTCTGCCTGTACGTGACTCTCTCATCTAGATCTTCGTACAACTTATCAACTATGTTCTCTATTCTTTTAGCGCTTTCATCGTCCAAGACGGGATTTCCCAATTTCATTAGGCCCACGTCTCTTTTAGTCCTTCTGTTTCTGTAATGAGTCCTGTCTTCGGAACGAGGTTGCAACAGTTGTAGCTTGTCGTTCTCCGCGTTGAAAATACGACACATATCTAATGTGTCTTGGCGTTTCTTCTGTATCACTTTTCTGTCAACTAGAAACAATGTTGTACTGTTAGTAAGCATTGCATTGCTAGAATTATAAATCTATAGTTTTTTTTCTCGAAAGAGTCCAGTCGATTCAGGATTCGAAACTGCGCCTTCCGCAATCCGAACGATTGGTGTTGTTTACTTAATTCACTTAAGTGCATTTACTATATTTTTTGTTTGTGATTTTACAAAAGTTACTGAAAATTCATGTATCTTCTGTTTAGTGTAAATCATGAAAACTCGATATAAGTCAGTAGGCAGTGTAATTTTGCTTAAAATGAGATACTCGTCTTGACCAAGAAATCCCATAGTCAAAATTCTAAAATAAAATAAAGATGAGACAAAATTTCAGACAGAAGTTAGCTAGTATTTACTGGGAACGAGTTTTTTTTATTGACTATGCCTTTTTACAGTATTTAAACTATAGTTAGTATTTAAACACAGAATTTCCCCTTAACTCTGGACTGCGCCAGTGGCTCTTAAATTTTATTGTTGTTATCATAGAGTCCAAACACATCGTTGATCTTAGCTAATATTTTGAAATAATATGTCAAAATATTATACAATATATTATATTGTTATTTCTAGAATAAAAGAACATCGTATTTTAGTTTTAAAACGAAAAGTAATTTTGTTCATAATGCATTTATTAATTCATTTTTACGCTTCCGCTCGCGACTTCGTCCGCATTTAAGAGTACGAGCCTGCTTCCAAGGAATGAGCGTCATTTCGTCAGCTCTCTTGCCATCGTCTCGGAATATGCCACTAGGCTCTAGGACCGCTGGCACATTGGCTGTGACAAGAGCTCTGCGGATGACGTCATTGATGCAGGCGTGGCGGGAGGCTCGATCAGCGCTCATTTGGCATGAGAGACTATGGTGTCCCAACTCATCTCCCGATGGGGATGATTAGTCTGAATTCTAAGTGAAATGGCAAGAGATAGAGTACTCCTCTCAAGCAAAGTCCTGGTACTTGTTGAAGGAAGAGATTGCAGCATATATAGTATATGCCAAATTTCATCCAAAACCGATCATCAGTTTTAGCGTGAAAGAGTAACAAAACTTACGCATGTAACTTTTATTTGAAAATCCCACAGGAACTACCGAGAATCCTTCAGGAACCTAAAATTTTTACGGGTAATAGTAGGTATCCTGTCTCAATCCAGGTTCAGTCATTTTTGTGTCATTAAGTATAACAAATATCATACAAGCTTTAATATTTATCTTTCTGTATCTATCTATCTATCTTTATATATATAATTCTTCTGTGAGTGTGTATGTCACTGAACTTCTCTTAAACGACTGGACCGATTTTGATGAAATTTTTTGTGTGTGTTCAAGGGGATCTGAGAATGGTTTAGATTCACAATTTTGTCCGCTGGACAATGTTTTTTTAATTAATTTTTAATTTATTAGTAGTTGTTGATTTTGGAATGTTTTACATTGGATCTGACAGATGGCTATGTGTATATTCCTGTCAAACATTTGACGTTCGTCGTTTATCATTTCTTCCAAATTATTGTAAGCAATACGAAGTACGCTGGGTCAGCTAGTCTTTATATATATAATTCTTCTGTGAGTGTGTATGTCACTGAACTTCTCTTAAACGACTGGACCGATTTTGATGAAATTTTTTGTGTGTGTTCAAGGGAATCTGAGAATGGTTTAGATTCACAATTTTGTCCGCTGGACAACCCCTATTTTTTTTAGGGCGGTACGAAGTTCGCTGGGTCAGCTAGTATTTATATATAAATCAATTGCTGTTCGTTAGTCTCGCTAAAACTCGAGAACGGCTGAACGGACTTATCTTATCTTGGTCTTGAAATGTTCGTGGAGGTCTAGGGAAGGTTTAAAAGGGATATTGAGATAATTAAGAAAAATTGCGGGGATGATAGTAAAAACGTCAATTTAATTTTCCCATATAAACTGTTCTATCTTCTTTCCTGTCAAACATTTGACGTTCGACCTTTTGGTACGGTGGACTAGGGTCCGTCAATTAGTCTAAATTTTTTTAACCCGTACGAAGTACGCGTTACCTACAATCTCATATCTTACAATGTTAAATATCACCATCGTTATAATATATGTCAATGATATAATATCAGTGAATTGCATGATGGTCTCAACTCAATGCACTCCTGTGTCAGCGACCGAATTGTTACATACACATGTTTGCGGTTTCTTGGGGAACAATACAATTTTAAATGTTTGTCGACTTGTGAAGATATACGTCCCTTGTAGTGTTGTACTTGCTTTTTTTTTATTATGTTTTATTTACTGTGTTACTTATCTAATTGGGCGTGGCCCGTGTAACTAAAAATAAATAATATTTGAGAAATGGCTGCCAGCCTATTGGGCACCATCCCTGACGGCGGCGCTGGGGGTGACTTATATTTTATTTTGTAAATAAGATGTTATTTAAGGAAATTTGTATTTAAATATTATTGATTTTCTGTACATATAATTAAACTTAATATTTGAGAAGTGTATGTTAATAATAATTTCCGACTTACGTTTTTGCACACTCAAACTTGGTATAATGCATTTTACATAAACAAGACATATATTTATTAAAAATAAACTTTTACAAACGCCTAACATTTTCAAAGAATATCTAGATTATTTTATTTAACATTTTTTTTGGAATAAATTAATATTTTATGAGTTTCGATAACAAAAAAGCTATATTCTATAGCGATAAAAATATTGTTGCAATTTCTTTATCGCCTCATACATGACTTTACACTAGTAGGTCTTTTGCGAGGTTGGGAGGTAAAACATTTTTAAATTTTCATTATTGCACGTTCAAAAGATCGTTTTCAATTACTTTTGATAGTCGAAAATTCAAATAAATACGTATTATACGCTTATTGGATCTTTCAATTATCTAAGACCAAAAGAGAGAACGGAGGATCTCGAATTATTTTCTTTTGGTCACTGATCCCGATCGATTGTGAAAGAGATTACTGATGTCATATGGTCAATTTTCTTTAATTTATGTTCTAGCTAACCCGGCGATATTCATGCCGCCACAGTCGATGAATGTAGTTATCTTTTAGATTAATGATTTTACAATCGCAATACAAAAGCTACAAAAAAAGTTCATCAGGATAAATGATAAAGAGAAAATGAAATGTCAATACCGTGTACTTCAATGGCGTATCAGCGATATTTAAAAGGGGGTAATTGGTTGCCAGGTTTTTCCCACATATTTTGCCAAACTTTCTTAAATCTAAAAAAAGTTTACTAGAAAAAAATTCACGCGGACCAGGCAGCGGACAGGGCTCGAACCCGCATCCTTCGCTATCCGGGCGAATGCACTGACCATTATGCTACCACGGCCCTATTTGCCGCGTCGAAATTTTCCTAGCCTTAAGCTGCAAGGCAGCGCCATCTCTTCGCATTGTAGGTAACCCACAATGTCAAATGAATACTTTTTCAAGTATTAAACATTTGAAAGAAGAAATAGCAATTATAGTTATGATTTTATTTATTTTTTAAGCATTTAAGTGCTAGATATTTAAATATAAAGAAAACTTTACTAGAAAAAAAACTTTCGACGCGGCAAATAGGGCCGTGGTAGCATAATGGTCAGTGCATTCGCCCGGATAGCGAAGGATGCGGGTTCGAGTCCCGTCCGCTGCCTGGTCCGCGTGGATTTTTTTTCTAGTAAACTTTTCTTTAGATTTAAATATCTAGCAGTTAAATGCTTAAAAAATAAATAAAATCATAAACTTTCTTAACTTGGGTATTTGTATTTGGTAATTGTAAACGTGACAACAGGCTGTTCTTATCATGCTTTATTAAGAAATAAAAGGACAGACGGACGGAAATGTTATATTGTTTTAAACTTTCATGGTCACCAACATTATAGTAACATAAGTTACGGGATTGTTACCATGTACCTTGTTTTAAGCGAGTTTCCGATATTTCGGCACTGTTGCAAGCGCCATGATCACGGAGTAACTGAAGTAATTGCGGGTAGGCTTTTATTGGCAGACATATCGGTCTACCCTCCGACGAAGTCTTTTATTGCGTTCGATAATTAAAAACAAGGTACATGGTAACAATCCCGTAAATAACTTATATTACTATGATAAAATGTTTACAAAAAGCAAACACGAATAGCCAAGTGAAGTGCCAACATAAGGTGTAGACTTTGTGAAGTTAGGCTTTGCGGAGTTAAAAGTTTGGTTTTACATGAGATGTTATACCTTTTTGACAGTGCGAGTTATATTGTCTCGTCTTGGCAACACTTACATGAATATATGTTTGTAGGGATATATAGATTTACATTTAACCTCATCGTGTTCTGTTAAAATATGTAAAAGCAGTCAGAAATATTTCGTAAGTCGCCTTTATTACAAAACGATTTCTCTATCTCTTGTAACTTTGATAGGAATGGAACACTGTAGACTGATATAAGTAAGTAGCAGTCTTCTTTATTGAGGAGAAAATTTTCTCAAGTGGGAAGTGTGCGCTCCAATTCCAGCGAAGATTCCGTTCAGTCCTTTTTTATGATTATATTATTGAATATTACGTTTGTTTACAGCAGGCGATAATTATTGAATTATAAAGTAATCGTCATCAATTAAATCGAATTTAAAAATTTATATTAACTTTGAGTGTGGTTGTTAGTCAGTTTCGATATCGCACGCTGAATTGCGTCCTACCCAAATGAGATAATCAAATTTAAATTCAATACGGAGGTTACATTAAATAGATTTCACAAAGGAAGGGATTGTATTGAACTCTCCAACTATCATTGAAAAAAAAACAGGACAAGTTGCGAGTGTGAATCGCCCATGGATGATATAATACTTTGTAGGGCCGTATCTTTTTGACGTGAACTTAGAAGTTTGATTTTTTTTTAAACTTTTAAGGATCTTGGATCTGAATGTATGTTTTGAATTTTAACTCGATGCCTCCACGCGTTTCTATATAAAGGGTCTTGACAGACAAACGAGCAGACGTACAACAAAGGGATCCTATAGGTTAAGGTTTAA